GAAAAAGAAGCATAGGACCCCTTCAAAGACGTAGTGCACAAGTTTTGGGGGAACACTAAAGACCCTCTCTACAAAACCAATGTACAACGCATGTTGGCTGCATATAAAGCTCAAGGTTGCAAGATGAGCTTAAAAGTTCATTTCCTACACTCCCATGACGACTATTTTCCCGAAAACTTGGGAGCCTACAGTGAAGAGCAGGGTGAACGATTTCACCAGGATGTCCGTGATATCGAGAGACGCTACCAAGGAAGAAGGAATGCGAATATGCTAGCTGACTACTGCTGGATGATCAAGCGGGAAACGGAAAATGGAAAGAGAAAGCGTGTTCGGAGAAGCATCAAAGAGAAGAAGAAAAGGTTTCACAGGCAAAAAGACTGAACACAGAATGTTAAATATATCGTGAAAGAATTTTTTGTTTAATTATGATAAATAATATGTTTAGTTCAATGTAATAAAATTAGTGATTTTTTCAATCGCTGTTATGATTTTTTATTGTAAACCCCTATTATTTTCCAAAAAAATCCGTACGTGATAGGGGGAAATTGAGGTCATTTTTGGATTCAGCATCCTAGAAAACATAAAGTTTACCAAAAATATTCCATGCAGCTGAAAAAAAATATTTTTGCAGGCCTGTGATATTAGACGATGTATAGAGTGGGCTACAGAAAGCGTCTCTACATAAACCGTGAAGAAATAAGTATATAAGGAAGAAACATATATAGACATAATTGACGTGAAAGTGTCATAAAAGGTTTTTAGCTGAAGAGTATACATTTATGAATAATTTCCACCAACACGGGTTTGGAAATATTTCCTAGTCATTATTTTCGTGGAAATGAACTCCAGACACACGGCACACCGTTCATTTACTGAACTGAGTAGTTAAAGCGCCTGATATTTTCGGAGCTGTATCAGGTGTGAAACTATTCAGACCGTACAGTAATTAAAACAGTAGTTAAAATTGTTGTATTATTACTCGTATTTATTGAACATTTTCTATGGACTTCATGCAACAATAACATTCGTGATTTCTTCAACTTTTCAAGGTTACAGAGATATTTGGATTGTTTCATTCTGCCCTTACACTCGTCTATGTATTAACATTGAAATTAATTAAATTAATAGGTAGTTACAATGTTCTGTTACACTCATTTCTGTTGCAAATTTATTCTTGTCCTTCGTAAGTGGAATACCTTACATCTATGAATTCTGTGATTCGCGTCTTTTTCAATGTGCTAACATTGTAATTGGCTCCTAGGCATAACACTTAGAAAAAATTGAGTTCCGTTACAGAGTTTAATATTGAACTATCACCAACCTGGTATTATTGTAACATGATAGCTAAAAGCCGGAATGGAGGGCCCCGAAAAGTCGTCCTTCGCTAAGAAACGGCAGGTAAACGTATTGTCACGTATCCTGGTAACGCGACAAGAAATTGATGAGTTCCGGATTAGATGAAGCTGTTTATTGGATAAGTTGTTTATAATTATAATTACAATTACAATCGCTAAAAAATAACGTGTTCCACACGATGCAACCTGACTAGTCTGTCGTTTCTCGCATTTCGTCTTCACTTCGCTATTCTCTCTTCCACTGCTATTCTTGTTGGCGGTTTCTTATGCTCTCAGCTCTGCTCTGTTCGCCTATGTTCTGTTCTCCGCTCTGTTCTGTTTGGTCTGTCAAATTGGACAGTCCGACGGTCAAGGAGACAGCCTGTTCAGGGGTTCTATTTATCGTGTTCTATGCACCGGTACCTAGTGTATTCGTCACCGCGAGAAATGCACTAGTTCTGGTTTTCATTTCCGTGGTAACGGTCTGTTACGCATGCGTTGTCCCGGAAACGTGCATGAACTGTTTTATAGCAAAATGGATAATTCCTTGGAGGCATCACTATTCCGTCTTTTAGGCAGTGTTTACCGAGCGTTGCTCAGCAATGGCCTGTTCCAGCTTGTCTTGGCCACGTCTATTAACTAGCCGTTGTCTAACAAAGGACTCCAACTCTGGCTCAGATATTCCGGTTTTCAGGCGGCGAGCCACGATATTTTCATGGCAACCAAAACATGCTTCCGTGTCAACATTAACCAAATCATCGCTAAACAATGGCCCGTTTAACACGTCACTCAACAATATAGGTATTCTTTGAAACTGTATTTCCTGTTCAGTCCTCGCCGAAGATATATAGCGAGACCATTCGGAAAGTCAGTCGTCAGTCATGCACCGAAGTTGGTGTCCTGTCGCAAGTCGAAGTCGGTAGTAAGCAGGTCGTTTTGAGCTGCACTGTTAGCAGCCATTACGTAGGAACGGCTAGTGACGTCAGAATAGCAAACAAAAGACTTCATATTTCTTGTAATTATAGTGATCTATAGTGTGTAAACCAGTGAGACTGCTATGGATATTTGCAGTTACGAGTTAGAAGCTCTCGATCAATTGAATTATGAATCCAAACTCCGATTCTATTCACTAACGTTTGACAGTATTAATGAATGAATTCCTGTGTAGATGGTCATTAATTCAGTTTTAATAAGGCGTCAATGGCTGAAGGACCTGAAGATATTTATATGTGCTGGTGATGACTGCAATTTTAGCCTTGACCTAAAATGTCGGTAAGAGTAGAGACTTAAAATGGTGGTAGATTTTACCACATCTCAAAACGACTTATGAAAATCCAAGGACTGTTGTTCCGGAGGTTCTGATAATTACAGTTTCTAAGAGCACAGAAAATTTCTGAAGCAGTATTTTTAGTTGTCTTTAAAACTTAACAGAAGCACAATTTGTCTAGGTAAATTCAAACAAATTCTAAATTGAAACATGGCATTATAACGCTGTGAATATTTCATAAAACACAGGGTCTTACGAGTTCGAATTTGAATTGTAGTCGGGTTCAAGGATCAAGACTGTAAAGGGTTGCTGACGCTATGGTTTCAGTATTTGCGACAGACAACTTGATACTCAGGCTGGGAATACACACAGCGACATCGGTCGTACGACGTCCGTACGGTTCATGTCGCATCAAGTAGTAGAATATAAAGTGTAGTCTTAGCTTTCATACGTGACGACATGCGACATCTACCGTACGACAGTCGGAGAGCAAAGAAATGTATTTGGTCGCTCCAGTGTAAAAAGGAGGTCGTACGGCAAAAAATCTTAAGACCGTTGTCGCTGTGTGTGTTCCTAGCCTCGGATACCCGACAGCAGTACACAGAAAAGGCGGAAGGAAGTTGAAAGAATTCAGCTTGGGCAAACATTCATGTCCCAGGCGGGTTTCAAATCTGCGATTCCAGAAGTCGGGCGCCTTCTCCATTCGTAATCTAGGGACGCATGTGAAAGGAAAAAAGTATTTTCTCACGTTAAAAATACTTATTTCATGAGAAGCACAAGCAATTCTATGCTTATAATAAATTGTTTTGCATTATACAAATTTCCGTCTTTTTAGATCAGCCAGGTGAAACCATTTCGTATCAGCTTGTCTCATGTCTCCGAGATGTATAACAGTAGAGTAATTTTGAATAGCCTACAATTCCCTTCACCCCAACTGCTCCCAAATTACCGCTCACAATGGTCGTAAGGTCAGTCACTGAGCTCTAATTGGATAATGTTAGTGATGTCACACAGTCTTTAAATAAATTACGACCATCTTACGCTAGACCGACCACTTCACTTCAAAGCGTTTGTTTCTGAATATACCTTTGTATACAGTTCTATTTTCCGGATTTCGAGCAAAAGATTTTGAAAAAAACTTGTTGAATAAAACTAAGAAATATCTTAATGAATTTCTAACGAACTTCAAACATTTTATTGTCTACTATACTTTTCACTGTTTTGATTTGAAGTTCTATAAATAATGCCGATTATTGGCAATGATGTCGCATGAGTCGCCACTACGCTGTACTGTGACACAGTCCCCCACACTAAAATAGAGGATTTGCAGTCTGCGGCATACAGCAACAGCCAGTGCAAGAAGCGAGGTAAGTTTCTGTGCTCTCTTCCTTTGTCTTGGAGGTTAGACAGGTAGATGCTGTACAGACTGTACAGTATATGAAGGGTCAAGTTTTTGTAATAAATTTAATGTAATTGTCTAGCACAGAAATTTCAACACTTAACTAAGATAACTCCATGATTTTAGTCCACTAATTAATTTTATGTCAATGTTAAACCGGGATAGCGTAATCGGTATAGCAACTGGCTACGGGCTGAACAAAGGAAGGATCGGAGTTTGAGTCCCGGTAGAGTTAAATATTTTCTCTTCTCTAAATCTTCTAGACCGGCTCTGGGGTTCACCCAACTTCCTATCCAACGGGAACCGGGGGTTGTTTCCTCGGGGGTAAAGCGGCCGGGGAGTGAAGATGACCGCTCACCTCCCAACTATTGCCGAGGTTAAGAAAACGTGGATTTATACAACCACTCCCCCATACGTATTCATGGTGTAGTGCTTAACTAGTTAAGTATAGGGTCAACTTTACATTTACCTTTGTCTGTATCTTTCTACAGCGTTATACCTGAAAGTCTTATTTCGTTGACAACCGGAATGTTATCATCGGGCACAGGAACAACTTTACCGTTATTGTTGTTAAACAAGTTAGAATGATCTTCCAAACGTCTGTGACGGTCATATATTATTACTGATAAAATTATGTCGGGAATTGTCCACGTTCTTATCTTAGTTTAGAAATATACGACTTCCCAAAACTGTATCTCATTTGCATCATGAGATGTAAAACGGGGAAAGCATCCCATTCAAATAGAAGCCTTGGAGTTATTCTCGATCACTTGGTCTAAATCAAGGTACAGTGTCCAATGTAATTTGTAATTATTAATTATTAATTATTGCTAGTGGGGTGGGACTGAGTCCCTTGTACTGCGGCCACTTCTGGACTATTGTACCATCCCCAGATGATAGGTGAGGGTGATTGTGGAGCAATTGGTGGAATGAAGTTTGACAGGGGAAACCGAAGTACTCGCAGAAATCCTGCCCCAGCGCCATTTTGTCCACCACAAATCCCACTTGGCCAGACCCGGGATCGAACCGGGGCCGCCGCGGTGGGAAGCCAGCGACTAACCGCTTGAGCTGTGGCGCGGCCTATAATATGTATTAAGTGCAGTAACGTTCTGAACCATGTTCTCGTGTCTTCGATGTTGTACACAACTAAACATTAAGTAATAGTAAAGAAGCAAATACTGGCATTAAGTTACTTGTGTAATATTTTAAAAATCCATATATGTATGTAAACATTTGAAGACAATAAATTGTTTCAGATGCTTACAGTCGGTATCGATTAGGCTGTCGCTGTAGTGAGACAGAAGATCTAACATTAGGTCTGAAAGGATTACAACGAAGAACTCGAATTACTTTCAATCATTTCTTTTTGAGACACTTTCAATTCTTGAAGCTGACAAGTGTTCTTCTCCAGTATCTGCGTTATGCTTATTATTATTAAAAATAAATGCAGTCAAATTAATCAGCCATGTTGTCTTGCGCTTTCGATCGTAGGCTTACTATTACATGTTTTGTTTCTTAATTTTTCCAGTGCCAACAGCATGTAGTTAACGACTATTTTCAGACTTGTACAGCCGGTAGCCACATTTAATCTGTAGGATATAAGATGCATCATGTCTGTTCTTCATATCATCATTCGATTTCTTGTCCTTTTGGAAACTGCTTGAACTAAAAATATAAAAATGATTATGTAAAGAAAGAAGAGAAATAAATGTTCAATATGTCACAAAAATATGAAGGAAACTGAGTCGTAAATGTAGCAAGTAAGAGTGACTAACAAGCTGTCCGTGCTATAGCTCGGGCGATTAGTCACCGGTTTCACACCGCCGCTGCCCGGGTTCGAGTCCAGGTCAGGTCATGTGGGATTTGTGACGGACAAAGTGGCATTGGGGCAGGTTTTCTTCGAGTGCTTTGGTTCCCCCTGCCACTACTCATTCCGCCTACTGCTCCACATTCGTCAACTGTCATCTTGGGCTGGTGCAATAGGCCAGTTAATGGTAGACATACCAGGTGGACTCCGTCTCACCCCACTCCAAGAAACTAAAAATTTCATTGCATGTTGTGTTGAATGCAGCTCTGTTTTATTAATTCTGTCTAGTGACCTTTGTGCTTTACGAGTTCACTAGAGCTGCAAATGTCCGATGCCTCCATGTCACGTACTTGCCCTTCTTTCAGATGAAGGTGGCCGCAGCAGCACTGCTGTGTATCCAGATAGTCACGTGTTCAAGAATCCTAGCGTTCTTCCCACACGTGGGAAAGAGTCACCATGATGTCTATGCCCCATACCTGAGGCATCTTGCGGCACGCGGCCATGAAATCATCGCCGTGAGCCATTTCCCACAAGAATACACATTAACGAACATCACACATATAAGCATTGAGGGCTCTGTTACCATGGCGTCCACGGGGGATATATCGTTCAAAAATGTCGAGTCGGTGGGTTCTATCGTTAATGCAATCATGCTTTCGTACATGGCAGACGATCACTGCAAATCCATCCTGCCGCTGCCGCAAGTACAGGAACTAGTTAACCAGAAATTTGACTTAGTAATCACCGAACTTTTCAACACAGATTGCTTCTTGGGACTCTTACACATCCTCAACGCACCATTCATTTACTTCAGTTCAAGCGTCCTGATGCCATGGGCTAATGACAGAATTGGAAACCCCGATAATCCGTCGTATATTCCGAATTTATTTCGGTCATATGGTGATAAAATGGCGTTTGATGAGAGGCTATTGAACACTGTCGACACTTATGTTGACAAGTGGATTGTGTATCCTCTGTTCTACGATCTACCAGGAAGATTAATTGCCAGTAAGCACCTGCAAGTGACACTGCCATCTCTGTCGGACATCGCAGCACGAGGAAGTTTGATTCTAGTGAACAGCCACTTCAGTCTCAACAAACCAAGACCGCTAGTTCCAGGTGTTGTCGAAGTAGCGGGCATCCATATTGACAGACCTCCTAATAAATTGTCCCAGGTAGTTTTTGGAAATGAATGTCACCACATTCTAAGTAATTATATTAATTGTAACAGAAATATCTGCAGATATTTCAGTCTCCTTAGTGAGTTTTGGACTAAGTAAAAACTCATAAACGGTGTGAGATATTTCTTCTATCGGCTAAAATAACTAAAATATTTCGTCATTGACCTTAGGTTACAGGAAGAAAATAGGATCCTTCACTGGAAATTTATCTCTCTACTGAGGCTTAGGAAATAGTCCCATAGATCCACACTCCCCTCGACTTGTCGTGCCGTCCATCCTCCATGTACTGAAAAATAATCCCCTCCAGTTATCAAGCTCTCTGCTCACATGTCAATAAAATAATATTGGAAGAGATTAGGTATCGGTTTCCTGCAGATGTTGTTTCACATGGGCAGCTAACTTCTGCTCTACAGCAACATATCAGATTTGTTACTGACCCTGTTCTTTGGCGTGACTAGAAAAAGGAAGACTAAAGTATTTCGTTTATGTACATTTACTCAGGTTGAATATATAACACAGAATTTATGAAACGTGGAATGTGACAAGGCGATTCCGAATGTGAAACTTGGAAGAATGTGAGAGAAACGTAGCCTATTCGAGGTGCAGACCCCGCCCATCAGTAAGTCTGATCTGTTTCTCAATAACCTCCAAATGCATGTCAGACGCAGTGACTCTGAGTTAAGTTACTCTATCAAATGTCATTCTAGATTGAGCTAATATTGTACCTTTATGCTCGACCACTGATAGATTCTGGTGTGTTTCCATTAACGAACAATTTCTTATGTACCAATGTTATTACTCAGATGAAACGTTTATTCCTTGATATAGGACATATGAAGGCCGCGTATTTGTAAATGAAGGTATTTCAGCATTTGATTGAAATGACTGAGGAAAACTACATAAATTGTGTTACTGTAGCTATTCTTCGATCTCAAATGAAATAGAGCACACATCACACACGAAATGACACGCAGTACGACTTCACAGCGACTTTGGCTTGCAGTGCGTACAGTAACAAGAAGCGTTCCTTCTATCTGTGATAATTGTCTGTTCTAATGAGCAAATCATCCAGTCTATTCCTTTACTTTGCTGTCTCTTTAAAGATATTTATATTATAGTAAGCATTTAAGCCCTGTATGAAAATGTTTTTAAACTTTATGTACGGAACCTACGGAGCTAGAATTCATGAAGAAGTGTCTCTTCCCTCTGCTTGTGATCCCTTAACTCCATATCACGTTACAGTCATTCTGTTTCCGTTATCTTCGTGAAGATTAGCTTCTGCTAAAGCTCTATATATTTTTTATTTTATTTGCAACATGCTTCGAGAAAATTATATCAGTTGTGAGTAAAATGGGTAACTGTATACTGTTCCACATAGCTACCAACATTCTTGCTGCTCTGATTCTCTGATGTTAATGCATTGAACTCACGCAGATGTGTGATTCTCCGTAAAAAGGAATACAAACTGCTGATCAAAGGCTAATAGCCCTATTATAATAAAGAAAACTCCGAAAAGAACTCTGTGTTCGCTGATACGGACACTCACCTGTGTGTATGACATTTCCTGTGAACATAGATCTCAAGAAGTAAATTCTAAAGGGTTCTGACGATGGTGTATAACACTCAGAATTTCTGGGTTTTTGGACTATTTCTATCATCCCATGTTCTAGGGACTAGGAAATTGGAAGTTGGGAAAAGTCCAAAAACCCAGTAATTCTGAGTGGTCTGAAGATTTTCGTATTTCATTTGCAGGACATTGAGGACTACATTAATGGAGCGGAACACGGAGTTATCTACTTCAACATGGGTTCGATGATCCGGTCAGATACACTTCCAGACGATAAGCGAGAAGCTTTCGTACAGGCGTTCTCCGAGCTGCCACAGCGAGTTCTCTGGAAGTGGGAATCCGACGCTATGCCTGGTCAGCCTAACAACGTCAAGATCGCAAAGTGGCTCCCGCAATTTGATATTCTGAGTAAGAACATACATGCAGTAGTGCCATGCATGCCGCGATCCACATACTACAAGTACTTGTATGATGCTCTCACCCAGGAGTGCAAATGATAACAGTTTATTTATTTATATTGCAAGGCTATACAACTGATGAAATTATGTAGCTTCAAATGATTATGATGGTCATGATTTATTCTGACCGTCTTACAGTGCATACATTTATTCACCTTACTCTTCTCTTTTGCACTACATGTTTCGGCACTAAAGTGCCAGACAGTCAGAATAAATCATGAACATAAATCAGTGCAACAGGACGCTAAAATATAACATGATTATGATGGTTTTGAAGGATGGCTTGGGATGAATGATGTTAGTTCTATCTCGGTTCGAACCACGATGACGAATTTGTTACGGCTGTAATTCGAGAGATTTGTGATCCTGAGCCAGATTGTAAACATCACCTGCCATGCACTACATCCAAAACGCCTCCTGCTGCATTTAGATTTTTTTTTAATTCGCTTAATGGTGGATGTAGTTCAACTGGATCCACCAGGCACGGCGGCCACTGATCGGCCTATTGTACCTGCCCCGGGTGATTATGATGATGGACAATTTGGTGGAATGAAGATTGGCAGGGGAAACCGAAGTAGTCGGCGAAAACCCGCCCCAGCGCCGCTTTGTTCACCACAAATTCAACTTGACCAGGCCCGGGGTCGAACCCGGGCCGCCGCGGTGGAAAGTCGGCTACTAATCGCTTGAACTATGGCGCGGCCGATACATTTAGAGTTACACCTGTAAAAAAAAATAACGCCTGTATTATTCCCTTTCACCATCGGCCATGGCATTAAACATTAATGACATAAACCGCACTTTCGAGTTTCTTGATATTCCTATGTTAATTTTAAAAATTAAAAGATGTAAATAAAAGGTAGACAGTTTTGTTCTTTCCGTATTTGCTTATTTAAGAGACATATTTCTGCCTGCTTACCCCGGATATATATTCATTTTGAATGTCACTGCAGTGAACACATTACAATCAGTAAGGACCAGATACACAACAATCATTTCATGTCCTTTAAGATGGTCAAATTATACATTACGGAAGTTCACGCGGCAGTTCATTCGCCATCTTAACCACACTTTGTCATATGAGATGAACTGATATTAAATAAATAAACACTATGATGGAAACTGGCGCTTTCATATGTCCTTTTACACAACTATAAGACTAAGACCTGAGAAAAACAATCAGCGTGTAGCAGAAACAAATACAATTCAGAAGCAGGCTTGATGTTCATATCTACTGTTACAGATCATCCAAATGTACGAGTATTCCTGGCACACGGTGGGCTGCTGGGTACAATAGAAGCTGTCCACGTCGGTGTGCCCATGATAGGCATTCCAATGTACGGGGACCAGGGTACCAACATGAAGATGGTAGAGTCTGCGGGTATGGCTGTGATCCTGCAGTATAACGACATCACCAAGAAAAATATTCTGAAGGCAATCAGGACCATTCTGGACAATCCCAGGTGCAACACAACAAGATTTCAATTTACTATTAAATTATTTTACTATACTCTGTACAGGCAACTGTCACTGAACACAAAATTCAAAAGGGCAAAATGAAGTAGGATAAGGGTGGCCAAGGCTAAGAGTGAGTGACGTGTAAAGGTGATCAGGACAGTTTTTCAGCTGTTGGCAGCTCAAGGAGGAAAGGTGTACATGCCTAGCTCTGGTTTGCTCCTACGAAGAACTGCATTATCATCGTTGTAAAGAAATCGTGTGTGTGTGTGTGTGTGTGTGTGTGCGTGTAAGAGAGAGAGACAAAGAGAGAGGAAGGTTAATTTTCTTTTTTTCTATTTCCCTTGTTGCATTCTGAGTGTTAGATTAGCTTTGAGGCTGAAGCGTGCAGCAATACAAGAAAGCATACTATCAGACAATGCACAGTGTGAATCATGCCGTGTGTAGTTAGAAGCTGTTGATATGAAGCGTCTGCCAGTTAGAGACAATTTCGTGACTTATGCCAGAAGTGGCCAGTTGTGTGCACTAGGAGGGCGACCAAGGGCGCGTATGCAGCAACAATTGACAAGACTGAACACACCTTCCCAGCTACTGGAACCTACCATTACATGCCAAATATCTTACCTGATGAAAGTTTTGTACCATATGAAATCAGTCACAAAGATAAGACGCCTGATATTTCAGAATATAAGAGCATTGAGTCTGATACCTGCTAAAATCTAAAGCAACTTTACTTTATTTTATCATAATTTAATTGGCACACTACATGGGCTACCAATCACTGTGAAGTGAAGTGTACACCGTCTCAGGCACAAACTCCAAAATAGTTAGTTTGACTCTGTACTCTCACGTGTAAGTGGTAACGTGACTAGTAATTGTGGACTATATTTGATGATTAGGTTTATTTGAAGTCACTACTAAAATTACACTTGGTTATAACAGCTCACACACTCAACCCTTTCTGAATAACAAAGCCCTCAGTGCTGTCTGGATCTTGCACGTTGATTCACTGCCGGGCCGCATCTCCTTCTTCCGTGTTCCGTCGTACTCGCTTAGAGAGAGAGAGAGAGAGAGAGAGAAGAGAAGAGAAGAGAAGAGAAGAAGTGGGAGTGGTAGTGAGAGACACTACATTGGGAAGGGGGGGGGTAAGAAACTATATCTCCAATGTTGAAGGTTCCCAGGCAGTGCCCGCTTGTGCTTCTGGTAAAGATAAAGCATATGATCGGATTTTTTTTTTTATTTTTGTTTGTTTTTGCTAACGTTGGGAGGGCTATATTAAGGCGAAATTTTGATGTTAAAAATGGGAGGGCTGCATGTGAGGCATGCAGTGCAACGTGGAATTTGGGTACCAACTCAGCGTTTGCTCTAGTACCGAGGAAAACCATGGAAAATCTTGGTCGAGCTGGCCGGTCTCAGGACCTTCCGGATACAAACTGACTTCTAGCCAGCAGTCCGGCTTGAATACGCGAACCCTAACATTAGACCCTGTCTGTGCGGTTGCTTTATTTCAAAAGTTTACATATGTGTTTCTACAGGTTTTTTTCTTTTGCATACTTTGGATGAGCAGCAAACATTTGTGTATCACATTTGCAAAGGGTTGTAACTGTTCAAATGTTGATAAATTTAAATCTCTGTTGTGGAGGGGCAAAGGTTTGTTGCTCATCCAATGACTGGATTTTATGATTACAATTCTTTTCTTTTAATCGCATCTTCATTTCTTGTCCAGCATAGGTGATGACTGGTCGATGTGGCCGCGGGCGTACTGGGCGTTTGGGGAGTTTCAATCATCTGGTTACCTGTAAAGAGATCTTAGAGCTGATTTTCTTGCAGGCAGGGATAAGGGACAGAGATGTTTATCACCGGTGGGATCGTAGTGTCCTAGTGCCCGAATCTGACCTTTTTCGCTGGTTACCGATTTCTGGCGCAATGTCTTCGCTAACCTCTTCAAATGACTTTTTAATGATGACATTCCCGTCTCTTCGTGTAAGGTTGCAATTGGTGTTACCCTCAGTAATTTTGTTATTATCCTGAGGCCTTTATTTTGAAATGTCTGTAATTTATTTATGTGAGTGTTGGCAGCATAGCCCCATGCGGGGGAGGCATATGACAATACGGAACGGAGGAGTGATTTATAAATTACCAACGCTAAATTAATGTCATTGATGGAGGATTTATTTAATATAGGGTAGAGTTGCCTGAGTCTATAATTAGCTTTGCGAAAAAATACAGGATATGTGGGTACTGTAGGTTAATTTTGAGTCAAGCGTAAAACCAAGATACTTTGTTTCCTTAGTCCAAGATATGGTTTCGTTAAAAATCTTTACTTGGTGCGCACTGCGGCCATAATGTCGCAGTCGTTTAGAAAAGAGTGTAATTGCGCACTGTTTTGCATTAATCTCTATTCTCCCTTTCCGGAACCACGGTTCTAAAAGCCTTATGGCAGAGTTTAACTTCCTGACTGCTATATCTATGCTTCCTGACCGAACAATAATATTCGTATTCGTGTCATCAGCATAGACTAATATGGCTATGTTAGAGTCATTTTCAATTGAAGGAATGTGATTAATATAAATATTGAAGAGTGTGGGTCCAGGTAAGCTACCCTGAGGCACTCCGGCCTGAATGAGGCGTAGGTTTGAATAATATTTTTTGTGCATTACAAAAAAGAATCGATTCTGGCGGAAGTTATGTATTATATGAATGAAGTGAGGTGGAAGTTTGGCCACAATGACTTTAGCAATCAACCCGGTGTTCCAGACCTTGTCGAATGCTCGTTCACTATCCAGGAATAAGGTTACTGTAGCTTTGTTATTGTTGAAACCGTGCGTAATGCGCTCCACATTCCTTAACAACACATGTGTTGTGGAGTGACCTCTTTTAAAACCGTATTGGTCATTTCTGATAGCTTGCAGCTTAATAAGTTCGAAGTATAGTCTTTTTAGAATGATTTTCTCAAAAAGTTTACCTAAAGAATTTAGAAGGCTTATTGGTCTATAATTTAGTGGGGACGTGTGGTCTTTGCCTGGTTTCGGAAGCATAATAATTTTCACCTCTTTCCATTGTGTAGGAAAATAATTTAGGGCAAGTGATCCATTAAACAGTTTCGCAATAAATTTGAAAACAAACCGCGGCAGATGCTGAAGTATTATATTCTGTATCCCGTCAGGCCCTGTTGCTTTGCGTGTTCCCTAACAATGGGTGCCTATTCTTATAGTGCTTGGGAATACTTTCGTCCAGCCGTTGGCTGGCAAAGGACGCCTGGCTCCGACTCCGATACTCCGGGTTTCAGGACTCGAGTCACAATATTTTACATCCATAACAGCTTTGTTTATATACATTGTGGAATGTTAAATAATTAATGTGACATACTGTTCATTTTTTTCCTTGGCACTACAGCCTCAGTGGGCCTAGGCCTACCTGCATAAACTTCTCCGTTCACTTCGGTTTTTCTAGATCCTACACATTCGGTAGGACTCCTTGGACGGGTGATCAGCTCGTCGCAAGGCCTCTACCTGTATACAAACACAGAAAAACGCACACGCACAAACTAAACATCCATACCTTGAGTGGGATTCGAACCCACGATCCCGGTTACCAAGCGAGCGAGGACAGTACATGCCTTAGACCGCTCGGCTACCGTGACCGGCACTCTTCATTTTAGGGACAATAATTTGTAGGGCATTCCTTTAACGTCAAATTCCCAAATTGATCCCTCGGGCATTTCTTCAAATTCCGTATTCAGATGGGCAGTCAAGTGTGTCAAAATTCATTGTTATATGTCAGATAAAATATGTAAAACGAGTTTGATATAAATTATGTCACAAGGTTACCTGTGACAAACTCGTTATTTATGATCTCACAAAATATGGGAAACTAGTTTAACATGACATGTTTTCACAAAGTGTCATATCGATAAACCTCGTGTCACAAATTTTATTTAGCTTTTACTGACTGCAGACAAAGTAGACAGGTAATTCATCACTAGTATCTGCTACAATTGATTCGAATTACTTTCAATTACAATTACTGTGTTGCAGCTCTAATATCTAAGATCCTATAGTAGAAGGTTGAAACAGCAGGATGAATATAAGACCTAGTTCTCTCATTGAACGACTATCATTTTAACTGAGAAATATAGGCGAATAGTGAGACACAAATTTTTGTAAGTTTGCCTTTTTCATATGTATTTACGAGGATATTTCAAAATATATATATATATTGTCACGTGTAGGGGGGTACGCGTGACGAATTGACGGGTTCTAGTTCGGATGATTGGATTTATTAGCAGCTTGGTTACTCACAATCTTAGTTACACTTGTATACAGCGCTATCGCTGATTTACATACACCAGCTCACCGTTGCACACGCAACAGGAGTCTGTCTTCCATTAGTCGTCTCCTAGCAACGGATCTCCACAAAGAATCAGTCACTTCAGATCATTCCAATTATTACACATAATTAAAGTCTTCCAATCACACGTCAAGTCTTCACACGACGAACTTCCCATGGCTATCACTTAAACAATCCCAAATAATCCCGAATACTCCAAAATACTGAAATCTGTTCTGTCTGTAACTGTCGTTATAGGGCCGCGCCTTAGCTCAAGCGGTTAGTCGCTGGCTTTCCACCACCGCGGTCCGGGTTCGATCCCGAGTCTGGTCAAGTGGGATTTGTGGTGGACAAAGTGGGGCTGGGGCAGGGTTTCACCTGCCAATCTTCATTCCACCAATTGCTCCACAATCATCCTCACCTATCATCTGGGGCTGGTACAATAGGCCAGAAGTGGCCGCAGTACAAGGGACTTAGTCCCACCACACTAGCAATAAAAGAAACTGTCGTTATACTCGTATAGCTTCCGCACTGCCCACGCAGAAAACAGCCTATATTGTTGGAACGTGTTTACTGAGCCATCGCATGGAAAAGGCCGCACTCCTATTGTTGCCTTGTGTGTATTCGGTCCTGAGGTTGAAATATTCTGGTAAATATATATATGATGAACCAAGTCTCAGATGTAGGTTAAAGTAAATGAACTGCAAACAGAATAATAGCCTAGAGGTTTGTGTTTCTGATCTGTGCCTGTGGAGTGGCTGTATCAGTTACTGAGGAAGACAATTTTTCTTGAGCTTTTGATCAAATTATACAGTTCCCTTCACACGACTGGAGATGAAGAGACTTCAAAATGAATTTACTTGTATGTTCAGCTTTTAACTTTGCATTCACAATACGTAACTGAGCTACAGGGCACAGCCTCTCGTTCTTTATTCTTAGTTGATGAATTATGTTAAAAAAAATCAAACCATGGATACTAACGCGGTTTTTATTAATGGAACCATTTCGCAGGTCCGTATCCATTGTACCACTCTCCTTACTAACAGCAAACTTCATTACCACAATATAGTACAATGACGTCACATTTCAATCTTCAATTATAACATGGGGAAGATTGCGTACTGCAAGGAAAACAAAACTACAAAATTACTATTGTAATCTTTAAACATAACATGACGTCACACATCTTATCTTTTTATTTATCACGCACGTCACATGGTGATATCTCGTAAATGCCAAACCGTGGAGAATACAAATGGCTTTATGGCTTGTATCTTCGTTGTCTCTTAAGAACAACCAGGCAGACAGGGTAAAATGTAAATGACGAGATATAAAATAAAATAATACTTAATGTCTCTTGCTCTCTGCAAATTATAGATATTCCTTTCTAACAAAATTTTAAATTAGGGTTTTAAATGTACAACTTTACACCACAAATGGTAAATGCAATATAAACCCAGTGACTCTCGTGCCATGTGTTTCTTGGTCTATGTGCATAGAAGTAATATTTTTCATCATTGTGTTCACACAGCTATAAAGAAAATGCAGAGCGAACGTCAAGGGCATTCCGTGACAGACCGATGTCACCCATGGACACAGCCATCTACTGGACAGAGTATGTCATCAGGCACCGTGGAGCACCACACATGAGAACAGCTGGGGCCGACCTGCCACTCTACCAGTACTTGCTACTAGATGTCATTGCTGCAGTCCTGACGACAATGCTGATAGTCATCTACATAATTTACTTTCTGATCAGGAAACTTCTGTCAGTTATCCGTGGTAGGGTACAAGCTGCATCGGAAGAGAAGAAACAACAATAACAGCCATTTACTTCTATTCATCAGCATAACTGTGTTAGATAAGTTTTCATAAGTCAACTCTGAACCTGAGATACTTTCACCCTTATATTCTCAGTGACTTAAAATTTGTAAATGGGTTAATTCAGACATCAAATTGTGCTAATGTAAATCAGAAATTCAAATTGGATGTCTCAGCTATAATGTGATATAGCCATTTTATACAACTGTGTGCCAATGAAACAAAGTCACTTCAGCCGCGAGAAAATATTGTGTTTTGTTTAAAGAGGGACCATATTTGTTATGCCTTTTTGCATGATACTTTACATATAATTATCCCCAGCAAATAATATATTTAATTGCTCAATAAATAAGATTTGAACAATTACTCTAGTTCTGTTTTCATTACGTTTGAAAATCTTAAATGCATACAGAAAATGAGCCACAGTGCAGCCTGAAGGATTAGGTCAATTGAAAAAATCCAATGACCTCATCGGTATTTGAACCCTAGACTTTCCGACCTGTAGCATAGTGCCTTAACCACTACGCTACCGCTTGCACCTTAGATGAACCAAGACATAAAAAGAAATATAAAATGAAAAGAAAGAGAGCAGATCCTACAATATAACATACTCATCACAGAGAAATTAATTATAGTACACTATGCTTTATTTTCTATATACTGTCACGTGTCGAGGATTACGCGTGACGAAAGTAGCGGTTCTAGTTCGGATTTATTAGTACTTCGTTTACGCGTTATCTCTCAAATACAATTGATACAACGCTATCACTTACATACACGCTTTCCAGTCCACCGCTGCACACGCACTAGGATTCCTAGTCTTCACTAGCCGTCTCCTGGCAATGTATCTCAATACAGTCTTCTTGTTTCGTTTTCAGTTACTTTGTATTCTTCTGCCCTAATCTGTACTCAGTTAATCTTCACAATTCACTAAGGGCACGCTCCGTCCTCCTCTTTGTACTCTCAGCTGCTGAACCCCCCTGAACCCTTTTCCGTAACGGCTTCGTGTCCTTGACTCGTGGCTTGTCAGCTATCACCGACTACAAACGACCTTCACCGTCCCCGTAGAAAACGCCTATTAATGTAGACGTGTTTACAGTTCTGTTGCTTAGCACTGGGCATGGCGCGGACCACATTGAAAGCAATTCACGTGATAGCTTTCTCGCAAGTCCTTTGGCGCGCTGATTGTTGCCTAGTAACGAGCTATAAACATTCGTCCTCTTGTTGCGTGACCTAACAACTGACTGTTTACCAAGTATCTGTCTTCGCGGTGTAGCCGTCCGCCGACGTACAGTTGCCACGACTCTCGCTCGAGCTTGAGTTCTTTCTCTCAGGGATACGGGTGCTTTGGAGATGGGAGTGGAACACACTTCGGGGTAAATAAATCCGGGATCTCCAGAACACACCGTGGATGGCAGCTTTAATTTAAAATCTCATTAATGATGAATATGTACAATTTTCTCCTAGCTAGCCGCTCCGTCCGCCGACTAGCTACCACTACTCTTGAACACTTCTCTCTTCTCTCCCTACATTCCAACTACTGTCCTCCTCCGCTCCCTATAACCGCCCCCCCCATCATTACAAGTCCCCCAGTTGGCATCAGAAAAACAAGAAAATAAAAAGGGAAAACCAAGGGTCGAGCCCAACATCTGGCCTACATTCGTATTTTTCGAGATGCCCATAAACCTCTGTAGGTCTTCAAGGAATCCAAGACCCCTCCTGGCTCGTCTCGTACACGGCCAGTTCATGGGTTTATGATATATTGGGAGTAAACAGGCGGCGTTAGGGACAATAGCGACACCCTTAGCCTAAGGAGGACAATAGCGGAATTACAACTAGACGGTCCGGGGATGGTACCTCGCCGATGGAGCGTCTCTCACGGTATTAAGCAATGCATAAATAGTTCTACCCTTAATTATATAATTTTGACGAGGGAAGTACGGTTACAGCGGGAACTTGATTACCAACCCATTGCCTAGCGATGTGTTTACATGCAAAAATATTTTCTGTGAATATGTGAAGTCAAATATAAATTATTAGAACTTTCGGAGTAAAACATCGGTTTGTGCTTCAGTCGAGAGCAACGTTATCGTAGAAAATTCGAACGTAAGATACAAACGATTATAGATAACAAAATAAATACGTATAATATACGGAGCTTCTTTAAATTTGCACTAATCACCTAATATTAGTGAGACGAATAAGTGTTGAAGGAAGGGATGTCTGAAGGATAGATGTTTCACAAGGAGAAGGCAAGAAACATAAAGAACATATTGACTAGAACACCACAAAATAAGGCGTTTACTCAGTAGACCTAGATGTATAGATATAAGGAAAATATTAAAATATATCTTCATGATATGGTTTATGAAGTATAAAACAAATTTATCTGGTGCAAAATGAGGTTTATATCTGTGACTAACGGCTAGATGCCTTAAATGCTCATGGCTGAGTAACTGCCAACAAACGTCGTCCCTTCAGCACGAGTTTACGAGATCTGACAATAAAGTTCGCGAACTTGCCACCGTGTGCTTGCCGAGCCAACAGTGGACAGAAACCTCAGCATGGTTTCATGGCGTTGGTATATCAGCGTTTCATAGTTGTGTTATTGTTGATCTATGGTAGTTTCTTTCTAAGTGGCGTCTATTATTGTCTGAGTGTGTTTTGTTGTGCGGTCGTGAGGATGTAGGAGCTTGAATTAGAGCACTGTCTGTGAGGGAGTTTTTAGCTAGTAAACAAATATCTGTGCGGAAACACCCTCCCTATTCACTGGATCTAGCCCCATTGACTTCTTTCTGTTCCAGAAGATAAAGGAAACATTGAAATGAAGGCATTTAATGAAATTTTATGATATCAGGATTAATACGACTGTAGCTCTAAAGGCCATTTTACAAAATCAATTCCAAAATTGTTTCGAAGGGTGGACTAGGCGTTAGCATCCGTTCATAGCTTCTCAATGGGAGTACTTTGAAGGCGACCACAAGGATATTCAGCAATGAGGTAGCAATTTTACCGCGATGAGTTCGCGAACTTTATTGTCAGACCACGTAGTGTCCTGTTTTTCCGAGTTGCCGTACACGCGCCCATTAATCATCTGTGCATTATGGAAGTTTCTTCTGGAAGATTCTGGGGAAAGTAAAATTTTGTTGCTCTTTCTCTCAAATTTTCAAACAATTCGGTGTCCGAACTGAGAGCAATATATGTTCCTTCTGAAGAGTGACTATTGTTTTTGTTTTAGTTCTGAATTAGAGACCCCAATTCCATTTCAAAATACCTAAAATACAATGGCGGAGGAAGTAGTATGCAAATGCGGGCAAATGTATACGAAGTTAAGATTGGCACTGCACTGCCCCTCTAAGGATGTGTCAGGGGAGGAGAGCAGAAATAACAAACACGACCAGGGACCAGGAAATATTTGTAGCTTTTTGCCTTATTTTGAAAAAAAAAAAATAAATAAAAGTAAACGTACGATCTCACCTTGCTATTTCTGTCTCTGAGTGTTCCTCTGTGTGACTGTATGTTTCCTCCCACAACTACGTACTTTCGAATTCCTGAACCGACTTTGATGAAACTTGGTATGTATATCATGCTATCTGATGCCATCCCATCAGTAATACTAATGCCGCAGTCTCTCAAATATTTGAGTCAATAACCTTATTAAAGAAGAGTTCTGTCTTCTGGAATACAATGCCAGGAAGTTCGCTGACAGTCAAATGAACTTTCAGAGGAAAATATCTACTGAGCTTGCTACTTGCTGAGTGTAGGTTTCTTGCTTATACTATTTTCGATCCTGAAGATGGAGGCAACATATTCCTTCGAAATGTCAGTTCACTTTTAGCGGACTACATGACATATATCCCAGAAGACACTTTATCAATACGGCTGTGAAAACCTCATCCTAGAACCTTAATATTTCTTGAACACCTTCTCTGATCGTCATGAAAGTAGGCGATTAGCCCAAAACTTCTTTTTTAGTAGGGATACAATCGAGTGATTGTGGAATTTACAGTTCTCCATGCATCGTCAAAGTAAGGTACAACAGCTTTGTTCTCTTTATTTTCTCTTCACTCTAGCTTCAGGCTCTGTTCTTTTTAGTTTCATTTCATACTGTCAGGAGAAGATTTCCAAGGCCACCAACATTTCCTTCCCTTTTGCAGTCCAGTAACACAGCCAGTACTCTATCATCGTTGTTGCTGGATAGACGCCATCTTGAACGTTCAAGCACAAGACAGCTATGGCAAGTAGACCTCACCAGCGCTATCAGCCTGGCATCATACTCTATACATTCTCCTAAGTATAAAGATACTACTATTATTGTTTATTTGATTTGATGAGGCTCCAAAACTAAGATGCGCCAAAATGACTGTGAAGGTGGTATCAGGGGGGAGGTGAGAGTAATGTGTCATGGTCTATTTAAAGATACCATTTGGTATTTGCCTAAAGTGGCTGAGGAAGTTGTGAAAAATCCTCCGCCAGGACAGGTAGACCTTCGATATTTCAGAGTACTAGCCTTATCCTTTGAGAGAGAAGTATTTTTGTTTGGGTCTTTGGAAAAGGAAACAAACTGGAGTACTATTCGATAGATGTAAATTACGTATTCCTTAAAGTTCTAAATAATATACGTTACTCATAAGTAGGGCCCGGTTTCTTGAAAATCCACATGCGCATATGCAAATGCATATTTTGAGGGTTTTTTGACGCTATTGTATATTCTAAACGTAAAGCATGTTTCTGCATATATGTTTGGAATTAAGGATAATTTCATTGTTCGGTTTTGCCTGTCTTTTGGACATCACTTGCCAGTTTCTATTCTCAACTCTCAGAGTAACGGCACTTTTACCACTTACAATACAAGCAGGTAGCTTGGCTATTTCGAAAGGGAGGGGGTGGGATTTTCCTGCATTTCTTTGACCACCACAGCAGACAGTAGAATCAGAGGGTTGGTCTCAAGAGAAGTCTCTTCAGTTAATGTGTTACTCTTTACTTTAATAGCCTGCATCAAAAAAGTGTTCGTGCACCGAAAATGCCTAAAGAAAAGTGCAGCAGTAGATATTTAAAAATTCTGTGGGTGTCGGGTAATAGTGACTATTCAACAGACGGTGTCATCGTGTACTGTCAAGTTTGCGCAAAGGAAGTAAAATGTGAAAGGAAATTTCAACTTGAACAACACTCAAGAACGACTGCACATATTGCGGCAAAAAAGGGGAAGAAGAACAGCACACCACAACAACTATTCGTACACAGGTCAAACCCAAATCATCTGTTAATACATTTTCAGCTGATATTTGTAAGGCTTTATTATGCAGCAACATTCCATGGAATAAATTAAGCAACCCAGTTCTGCGATCATTTCTGGAGAAATATTGTGTAATTTAAAAAATCCCAAATGAATCAACTCTTAGAAAGAAATATCTACCTTTGCTGTATGAATCTACTCTGGAGTCAATCCGTTCTGACATCGGAGGGAACTGTGTCTGGATATCGGTGGCTGAGAAAGCCGATTTATGTGGCCGATACATAACATAATTCGTAGTTGGTAAGCTACACCCAGACGAACCCGGCAACCCTCATCTTCTTGCTTGCAAAGTACTAGAGAAAACCAACCATAGCAAAATAGCAAGATCTGTAAATGATTCTCTGCGACTACTATGGCCATTTGAAATTGAGAATAATTGTTGTAAGGTGCTTGTATTACTCACAGATGCAGCTTCCTATATGCTGAAAGCAGCAAAGGCCTTACAAGTACTTTATCCTAATCTTATACACGGATTACACCGTATTGCAGAAAAAATACGCACACAGTTTCCAGCTGTTAACGATTTAATTGCAGGTGCGAAAAAACTGTTTCTGAAAGCACCAACTCGTGTCCAGGTCTACAAAGATTGCCTACCTCAGGTTCCTCTTCCACCTGAACCTGTCCTAACTAGGTGGGGGACATGGATATCCGCAGTTTCATTTTATCGGGAGAATTTCAATCAAGTAAAAGAAGTTGTTACAAAACTTGAAGATGAGAATGCATGTGTCCGTGAAGCAAAAGTGATGTTTGGAAGTGATACTGTTTATCAAGATGTGAATTTTATCCATGCACAATTTTCTACAGTTTCAAAAGCCACTGATAGTTTAGAATTCTGTGGTGCACTCCTTCATGACTTACTTGAACTCGTTCAGAAAGCAACTTGTTCACTGAATTTCGCACTAGGCTAAACTGGAGAGACGATTAAATGCAAGTTAGAAATAGTGTTGAATTCGAACCCAGGACTAAGAAAGATTCAGTCAGTTAGTCAGTACTTGAGTGGAATTAGGGTATCTTTGCCAGATGAATGTTCCGAACCTTCGGCTCCAGTGTATAAATACTGTCCAATCACGTCAGTTGATGTAGAAAGATCATTCTCAGCCTATAAACTCATTTTGACGGACAATAGACGCAGTTTGTCTCCAGAAAACACTGAAAGACTTCCAGTTGTCTATTGTGATGCGACTTTCCGCAGTGAATGATACATGTAAATAAGTGAGTCTGAATAAAGTGACCTGTTTCTTAAGGGTATTTTGTTTTATTTTTGGCGCATATTTTCCCGCTTTTTAGCGCATATTTTAAGTGTTTTAGTGCATATTTTAAGTGATTTAGCGCATAAAGATCCGGGCCCTACTCATAAGAGACACTAATTCACTGCAATATGGGGGAACAACCAATGAACCGTAATGTTTCCATTTTTCATATGTCGATAATACCTCAGTTTTTTCCGACGTAAATTTCAAGAACAATATTTTGTATTGCCCCGCGCATGAAATCAATAAGCTGGCTTCGGGTAAACAGTAAGGTGAGCATCTGTCCATCTAGGGCCATACACTTATCCACATGCTTGCCGCACAAAGTTGTAAGCATAGGCATTATTTACTACTTTCTTTCCTACTTCAAAATTAGCTTAGGTCACGTCCACTTTAGGAGTATGTCTTCCAAATTCCTGCTTTTCCAGTTTTTCAAAATTCAAGTGTTCAGTAACAAAGCTAATGTGATATTTTTCAACGTCAGTTTAGGATAACAATAAATTTAGCAAATATTGATACTACTCGTTTCCATAGTTGCTGTGTTTTCATCTATTCTACGAACAGCTGATGATCAGGATATGCAAAAAGAAAATGCCTCCACTTCTTTCGTAGAGTGTGAAACTCTGTTTGTCTGAGGGAGGAGCATAAATCATAAGGGTCTGACTGCAACGTATCCAATACTTCAATCTTATAAGAATGAAGTACGTGAGAATTATGAAGTGTTACATAAGCTTAGAGAGAGGCGTGATTTATATTTGTGCCTAAAGACACCTCCACGTTACTCGTGCTCTTGCTCGTGCTCGCCAGGCTTGTTCTCGTCGGGAGACTCGTCTGGCTTTTACTTGTGCCCGTAAATCTTCGTCCACACTACTTCAGTTGCTCGCCAGGCTTCGGCGCGTGAGGATCCATATATTTACTCGTAGTGTGTATAGACTGTAGTCGTATTTTAATTTATTGCCTATAGTTTTTAAATTAAAAATTAAAAATTTGCTTGTCTCGTGACTTGTCATATCGTCCACATTATTCGCGAGCATAGTGAGTCACACGAGCACGAACACGAGCACGAACACGAGCACGAGTAATGTGGACGCACCTTAAGATAATTAAATTTAGGGCAGGATGACTGTGATTGCGGTTAAGGTGATGAGAACAAGGGATTCATACAGAGAAATTTGGATGGGAGTTTGTTGGATTTGGCTCAAGATCATGTCTAATGATGGACTTCAGTGTTAGCAGTGTTAAACCGTCCTCTTCTATTATTACTTTATTAGTTATATTTTAGTATCTCCCATCTATTTCCACGGGAGATAAAGTGGCTGGGAAGAGAAACTGTCCACTCCCCTCCGTCTAGTGCCGAGATCAAGAATACAGGGATCCATACAATCACAGCCCCATACGTCTTCATGGCGTAATGCTTGATTGGTTAAGCACAGGGTTAAATTCTTTATTAATATCAATATTGCGAAGTGTATACACATTGCTAGAACGATTCGGTAAACACATACCCGCGAAGCGTATGGGTGCAAAAGAAAGACGTACATTGCTAAGCAACGGACCAGTAAATATAGAGGCTATGTTTTCTGTACGGTCTCTGGCGAGGGATCATAAAAGAACAGTCAGAAGACTCGACCGAGTATATACCAGTAGGAGTGGGGAGTGAACATTCGAGTTTCGGGACGCCAGCCTGCCGGGATATGAACTGAGTCGAGTCTTCGGAATTGGCAGTTGCAGAATAATGAGAAGAAAGGAATTAAGTTGTGAAAAGAAGACTCATGTGTGATTTGAAACGACATTGAGAAGGTGATAAATCCGTTGCCAGGATACGACTAGGAAAGACTGAGGATACTAGCGCATAACGGTGAACTAAAAAGTGTGTAGATCATTGATATCACTGTATTATCTGTAGTCCCGAGTTGTGTGTGAATAAAGTGTCAATAAATTCAACCATCCAATCCAAAACCCGCCTATAAATCACCCCTTCACGTGACAATACTGTCAATATTACTATCACTACTACTACTAATACTACTACTACTACTACTACTACTACTACTACAACTAACACTACTAAAAGCCTATTGTATGATAATTATATATCTCAGTTTCAGGGTACGACTTTGCCCCAATCTGATATGGATATTTTCTCATTTGCAATGTTTATTTCATTACAGACAAAATTTTGGAGCTGCCTCTTGTTCGTTATAATTCTGCTCTTCACTTCAAAAGTTGCATCCTATAAGATACTAGCCTTGTTTCCGCACATAGCAAAGAGCCACTTCGTAATGGGAGAAGCCTTAATGAAAGGTCTAGCAGACAGAGGTCACCAGGTCTTCGTAGTGAGCCACTTCCCTCAAGATTACCCTGTGCCCAACTACACAGACATCAGCTTAGTGGGGTCCATGAGAAACGCAGTTGAAGACACACCCCTGGAGAATGTAGGCAATGGTGATATTATGATGAATGTAAATATGCTGGCAAGCCTGGCAGTGGAAATATGCGAGAAGATTCTGTCTTTTCCTTCGGTACAGAAGCTCATTAAATCTGAAGACAAGTTTGATTTGATAATCACAGAACTATTCAACACAGATTGCATGCTCGGATTCGTACACAAGTTCAATGCGCCCTTCATTGCTATCGGAACATCTGTCATGATGCCTTGGGGTAACATACGTTTCGGTAACCCTGAAAACCCGTCCTACATACCACATCATTTTGCACCTCATTCTGATCGAATGAGTTTCAGCGAGAGGCTTGTAAACGCTGTGTATCAAAAGGGCGTGCAGTGGGCTTACCATTTCCTCATGGATATGCCAAGTCAGAGAATAGCGAGGAGGTATTTTGGGGACTCGCTACCTCCTCTAGCGGAGATCGCCAGGAACACTAGTCTCCTGCTCTTGAATACGCACTTCTCGATGAACCAGCCAAGACCATTTGTTCCGCAAATTGTTGAAGTTGGTGGACTGCACCTGCCTTTGCCAGAGCCATTGCCAGAGGTAGTAACTTCTCTTACTTTGTTACAATTTGTAAAGCAGAAGTAATAATCTCTGATTACCTTGTACATTCCTACAAATTGAGACTTTGCGCATTCGTGCGATGTTAACGACTATTAATGTTACATTTATCTGCCTTTGCAGTTGAGAGCAACAGCAGTGGTATCAATGTAAAAGTTTGAAATGTTATGTAAAACATATTTTTGACAACTGCACAACTTCTGGTTCAAATCGGTATTTATCTGTCCTTCGTGCAGAGACGACAAACATACTATATGTCGTGAAATTTAGTAATGAAATAAGTCATAATTGTGGCTACTAGTTTCGTGTGAAATGGGGTTTTCTGTTCTTTGAAAATCACAATCATATAAATAGTACGAAGCTTTGTATTACACATGACAACTCTTTCAGTTAGTGAAATTTTGCTTTCGATTTTAATATTATTCATTCACGACTAATTATACAAATTTAGAATTGAACATTTGATTCAGAATTAGGAACAACATTCGTATATTCTCCTAGAAATACATATTGTTCTTCATATATCATTTTTTTATTGCTAGTGGGGTGGGACTAAGTCCCTTGTACTCCGGCCACTTGTGGCCTATTGTACAATTCCCAGATGATAGGTGAAGGTGATTGTGGAGTAATTGGTAAAATGAAGATTAGCAAGGGAAACCGAAGTACTCGGAGAAAACCTGCCCCAGCGCCTCTTTGTCCACCACAAATCCCACTTGACCAGACCCGGGATCGAACCCGGGCCGCAACGGTTGGAAGCCAACGACTAACCGCTTGAGCTATGGCACGGACTTCATACATCTTACTTCCTGTTAGCTCGGACACGTAGTCACTGCTTCCATACTGCAGTCTGCTGGCTTATGATCTCCTTCTGCAGGCCTGTAACGCTTTCCCCAATTGGCAAACTTCCACTGTGAAAATGGAAGTTGCATTATTTTCGTAAACGTTAATACCATCGTGCCAGATTCCACGGTGTCACTGCCAATTCATATTGAGAGTTCTGCCTTCTGTTCTACAACGCCGTGTAGTCCGTTAAAAGTCAACCGACAATTCGAAGGAACACGTCAGCAGCATTTTCGGGACAAAAAATTAACGAAACAGGAAACCCGAAAGAAACAGGTATCAAGCGCTCGTTACCTGCTTCATGCTGACGTCGGTTGATTTTCAAGGAACTTCACGACGTTGTAGCATAACCACAGCTGTGAAAACCTCGGATCATGTTATGTTGATATGAAGCTATCGTAGAGGTTAGAACCGTCTCAAAGGCAAAGAAAGAAAATTTTATTGTAGTAATTTGAAGAATATATGAATATGTGAACTTTCCGATCATGTTACTCTAAGGAGCTGTTTCGAACAGCCTTTCGAAATGGAATGAGTAGCGCTTTCTCTTTTTAGATTATTTGCCTCACGGCTGCTGTATTTCTTATATGGAAGACACAAATTTGTTTCCAAAGAACAGGATTTATCCAGGGATTAGAAATCATGTTTTCCAATATCTGGCCTTGATGTACGGAACTTGTAGGAAGTTTGACGACACAGGTTCCTGTGTTTGGTCTTGCCACTCCCTCTCCATCGCTCTCCATACACTGCCACACTCAATAAGTTCGTGGAATGGCCGCAAAGCGTCGTACGGGAATTTACTGCCAATGTTTCAGCAGTGTTTTCGTCAGCTATATCAATGTTGGCAGACTTGCTTAGCGGCCAACCGCAACTATTTTGAGGGGCGAAGTGAATTATGTGAATACCTTGTAACATGATGCGATAAAACCTCATTCCACGAATTTAATGACTCTACCAAGTACAGTAGAACTTGGTTATAACGTCATCAAAGGGACCTAAAAAAAGTGTCGTTATAAACGAATGTCGTTGTAACCGAAATGGGCACTTCCACAGTAGCCTTATGTTAGTCACGTAAAAATCTACCAAAAACCGAGTTGAAGTGTTGCATTTTTTAGTGAAATACGTAGTTAAGTACAGACTAACGTAACATTAACGTGGAATTAATGTGGATTCTCCAAATCGTTTGTACTGTAGAATTCACCAAACCAAATTCGCGGCATACATCAGCTTTTTTCCTTCCATTTTCTATTTCACGAATCACTTTAACTTTCTCTTCAATGCTTAAAACTTTCCTTTTCATTGCCATGTTTTCGCTACTGCACTTCTCTGGGTTTAGGCAGGAACACTATAGGGTAAGTAGACAATGTGAGGTCCTGTTAGACGAGATTCTAGGAAAGGAATGCAGTTAACAACCTGCCGCGTCCTCTTGCACTATTCACGCAGTCCCACCCCACACCCTTGTTTTCGCATAAAACCCACGCTCCTCTTGCAGCCCGCGGTCGTATTCTTCCAGGACAGTCACGTCAGCAAGTAGAGAAAGTGAGGGTGGGCAGACACATCGAACTTTCCCACGATATCAGAGAAATTCAGGAATGAAAATGACGTTACATACGAGGTTGATGCATTTATGCATGTCGTACTGAGCAAGGTATAAAAACAGTTGCTTTATGAGGAATTAGTTCGTACCATTGAATATTTGACGCAATAGACAAGGTGTCGCAGAAACCGATGTTGCTATAACCAAGTTTTACTGTATATGTTTAAACATGAACTTCAATCAGATCACTAGTAATTCTTATCTCACTGTTGCAGGATATAAAGGAATTCCTGGACAACTCTGAGCATGGAGCAATTTATTTTAGTCTAGGATCAATAGTCAAAACAGATACACTGGCTGCAGACAAAAGAGATGCATTTCTACAGGCGTTCTCAGATCTACCGCAAAGAGTTATTTGGAAATGGGAAGCCGATACAATTCCCGGGAAGCCTCCAAATGTGAAGGTAGCAAAATGGCTTCCGCAAGTGGATGTGCTGCGTAAGTTCGTTTTAGAATCTCTAACTTTCTTTATTCAAAATGCAAATGGCTTTGACCACAGAAGCCAATGATAGCTGAAGGGTTTATTTCATAAGGTATTCAGGTACTGAATCAAAGAAATAATTTTAATCTTATACTCTGAAGAGAGAGGCAGTAAGTTACTTCGAAGCGTCGTTACTCACCTACAAGCCAACAGAATGTCACATTAACACAACACCACAATATGAATCTTCATTGTTATCAAAGCCTCAAAATTAGGATTTCCTTAGCTCAACTTTCTACGTTCATAACCATCTAGAGTCGTCGTTAACGTCGAGTAAACCAGGATCGGGAGCCGCGCCATAGTTCAAGCGGTTAGTCGCTGGCTTCCCAACGCGGCGGCCCGGATTCGATCCCGGGGCTGGTCAAATGGGATTTGTGGTGGACAAAGTGGCGCTGTAGCAGGTTCTCTTCCAGTACTTCTGTGTCCCCTGCCAATCTTCATTCCACTAATTGCTCCACAATCACCCTCACCTATCATCTGGGGCTGGTATAATAGGCCAGAAGTGGCCGCAGTGCAAGGGACTTAGTCCCACCCCACTAGCAATAAAAAAACAGGATCGAATAAATATCCGGTTTCGCTTAAGTCGAAATCGCGCCTGTAAGGACCTTCTCAGGTCGTGGCATATACGTATATTTGAACCCATTTATGGCTGTGTTAATTATGTATGGTGTTGTCTTGCAGGCCACCCAAACGTGAAAGTGTTCCTGACCCATGGCGGACTGATGGGTACAATAGAGGCTGTCCACAGCGGGGTGCCCATGGTCGGGATACCGTTGTTCGGTGACCAGGAGGTCAATATCCATTCCTATATTTCTGAAGGCTTCGCTGTCAAATTGCATTTCGACAGTATTTCCAAGGAATCTATTTTGCAAGCCTTGAGGACCGTGCTGCACGACCCAAGGTGAGGGCTCGGGTTTGAACTCAGAGGATTCTTGATCCTTAAATTAGTTAGCTGTAATCTTTCGAATTCTGGGTCCATTTAACACCTTGTATAATTTTTAGTTTATCATGAATATAAGGAAGCGATTATGGAGCATACTAAAGCAGTTGTCCAAACTTCCCTACAGAGACAACGGAAAAAGAAAGAAATTTTTGTTAGGATAGCAGGTAACCGACCGAGATTCGAAGCAAATGCATACCAAGTAAAAGTCTAATGTGTACTTTCATATCAATCTACTCGATATAGATCAATAGTATCAGCTAAATTTCATATAAAATAACTTATATTTCTTACGGCTCCATCTTTAAACCATATTAATTCAAAGAGTATTCGGAGAGTTCTGTCTTCTGGAATATGACGTCGCGCATAAACTGACTTCTTGCTTGACCTACTCTTTAGTCATGAAGAGGGGGGCTATATGTCCCTCCGGATCATCGATCGATTTCAGCGGACTACAAAACAAAATTTCACAGAAGACAGAACTCTTCACAACTACCGCTGTGAGAACCTAAAATTCTACAAGTAAGAACTGGTTAGTTGAAGAGACATGAAGGAATATTTCATCATTAGATTTAAACAAGTCGACTTCAATCAGTTTCCTTATTGCTACTAAATGCTTACGTTCTCCATTTTCACAACTTAACATTTTTATTAAACAAAATTCCCTAACTGGATTCTTCTGTTAGTGAAATTACAATATGTATTAAGAAATGAAAGACCAAAGAGCTAGAGCTGTACGTCTTACAGACACGTTAAAGTAGTGTTTATTAAGCTCCGGGCCGCGGTCTCACAACCGTTGAGAACCACTGCGCCAGAGTAAGTAAACTGTGGCTGCAATCAGCTCCAGTTCCCGTCTTACATAAATCGTTATCATATTTTTGGTAATATAATGTAAACATATTTCCTCTACTCTTCAAGCGTTTTGAAATAATGTCTTAATTGCTTCAGGTATCGTGAAAATGCAGTTCGAATATCTAGGGCCTTCAACGACCGCCCGATATCGCCTCTGGACACTGCCATCTTCTGGACTGAGTATGTAGTGAGACATGGAGGAGCACCACATCTGCGATCCGCAGCACGGGATCTCTCTTGGTACCAGTACCTGCTTCTAGATGTCTCTGCGGTGCTTCTATTAGCTGTAATATTTACGTCTATTGCCACGTTTTTTGTAACTAAAACAATAATTCGTTTCGCGTTACAATGTAGACTCTCGCAGAAAAAGAAGAACCATTGATATATAACTTGCTAATATGTCATTTTCATCGTGACCTTGAAGACTGGACCAAATGACTTTACATAATTCCCATTAAAATCTCATTTGATACTTATATCCTTCTATTTTACAATCTGCGCATTTACCTCCTGTTACAGGGCGTTGCAAGTTGTGTCGTTTGCTTACCGACTGTATTCCATACGCAGCAACGTAATATTCAAATCACTGTTTCTCAATGGCGCTCACGCTGTTGTCTCACAAGCAGAAAGATCCAGGAACCATAACATCGTGGTAAGAATGCACAAGTACAAGTACGTACACCCGTGGCACACTTTTTTCCAGTCATTCGAGAGGTAACAACTTTCAGGAGATAAAGGGTTGTCAGCAAATGACCGATATTATTATAACAGTCTGTAACAACTGCTTATGTTAGTTTACATCAGACAGTGGAACACCATGGTTGAAGGGTCGACACTTCTGCTTTGGTGAATATTCCGAGTTCAATTCGCAGCATGAACTTCATGTTTTTTTTTTGTACTTTTCCCGGTTTTCCTCACACACTACAGGCAGATACTGAATGTCATATTAAAATAATCCATAGTTATCTTCCAGTTCAGTTGACACGAGTCATTAAATGACCAGGAAACAGTTCAGATTTTCAAAAAGTAGGCTACGACCACCATCGCGTGCTAGACACGGTCGTTTCATGTTTCATAACAAACATTTCGCTCACATATTTATTTTCCCCATACTCACTCTAAGTTCCACCAAGTGTCACCTTATTCATTTCACTGGCTGAAGAGACCACATTTTGAAACTTATTCATATTAAACATTTGTCCATTCCATATTTCTGTTATCTGTCTTGACTCCAAACATTCTGCTGAACTCCCAATAATTTTCCTGCCCTCAAAGAAGAGTAAAGATTTGCAGCCACGGAAAGAGGTAAAGGGCAAAGATAAATTTGTCCCTGTATTTAATTTATTAGGCACTATGACATGAAGATATAGGGGGACTGGAGGTGTAGATTGTTCAGTTCTATTTAAAAAATGAGAACGCCGACCAGCTAAGTTGAAATTTTACTGCAAGACACAACAATAATAAGATCTACTTAATCTGATTCTTTAATTCGCAATCCTGAATGATCGATTATACTCTATACATATATGAGATACTGAAATGAGATAACCGATTATTGTTATAACAATATAAGTCCAGTTCGGCATTATAATTATGAGAACAACTCCAGGAAAGCAAGAGACAAGTTAGGAACTACGTGGAAGTTGTGAAAAATGCCATTCTCCCAAGTCTTCCTTCCCACAGCTAACGTGTCTTGAACAAGGTACCAAAGCTGGTTCACAATAGGTCCACACTGTGAACTCTGTCAAGTTCAATTGCAAAGGCTACAAATAATTAGGTAAAAAATTTAACTAAGATACAAATAATGTTACACGTAAAGAGGGGAAAAGTTATTTATTTGACGGGTAGAATAACATAACATAAAATATTATTAGCTTCAATATGTTGTTGAGTGATCTCTAGTAATTTAGATATTCTGATTGATGTCAACTGCATTTCAATTCTGTTATTATCCCAAGATTAGATAAACAATGATAAGCCTTATACATACTAAAAAAATAATTTGGCTTAAGGTATTGCAGTTCGTCATTCCTTTCTTGAGCCAAAGATGAATTCAGAATAACAGCTACTAAGTCACGGAACAGATCTCCAAAGCACAGAGCATAAGACGAACAAAGGAGTCAAGGCGTTCTGGGTAATGTCCAGACCGATTATTAACTGAGCAATATGTTTTATCAGAGAACAAAATCATGTAGAGTTGAAACGAAATAGAGAAAGAAATATTGTCTAAATTAAGGATGAAGTAACGCACGTCTGGAACAAGAAACAAAGAAGCAACTCTGCATATGAGAAAATAAACGAGGAATCCATTCTCAAGAAGATAAACACATTAGTACCTTGCGGAAGGAATATATTTTATTTCGAACATATGTAACAAACAGTGGGATCTAGTCATATTTCCACATGAACATGCGGGGAATCCCAGTTATGGTTCTCTCCTACACTACTGTCATTGAATAAAAATATGGGTACGCTGTTTAGCATTTTTAAGTAAGACATGAGCATGATCATCACGCCTGCAGCCTATAAACATCACAATTGTTAACCGTCATGTTATTTGATGTTTTCTGCAGTTGGTAAAGTGCTTACGTAAATAAATAAAACGCATCCTTTATTAAAAGCAAATTACACATTTAAATTCCTCATAATATTAGGGGCAACCGAGGTTCGGAGTTCATATTAATTCCTACTGGGAATACTTCCCCTTCCAAAATTCCTGAAGATATCTGTAATGATGGAAGGAAATACAGAGCTCTGCTAATTTTTCGCCCTAACAAAATCACAAAATTTGTTGGACTGCATCATAAAAATACGGCTCTTAACAAGACAAGGTCACAGACAATAAGATGTGTGCTATCTCAGTCTTAATAAGGGACAGAATTAAGTCCAACACATGTCTGGCAAGGTATTGTGGAAATTGAAATAGAACACTCCGTGCACAGCCTGCAGTGCAAGGCAATAAAGTGTGCGCCAGGCAGGTGATTCAGATATGAAATATAGAAATGAGTATAGCATTTCCTTTGCATCACATAAGAACATAAGGAGGAGGCGCATGTCATAAAGCGATATCAGAGTTTGTACTATCGATAAGATATAATTAATTTATTTATTGTGGACCAAAAAACAAAAGTAAGTCCGTTTGAATGTTTTTATTTTATGGTAGATTTCTTGAGAACTGACCGCCTCTCTGGCCTAGTGGTCAGAGTTCCTGGATACAGATCCAGAGTTCTAGGATTCGATTCCTGGTGCTACCAGATTTTCTGAGAAGCAGTTAGCCTGGAACGGGGTCCACTCAGCCTCATGAGGATAACTGGGGAACTACTTCAAGGAAATAGAGGCTCCGGTCTAGAAAACCGAAATTAACGACCGTGGGGATCCGTTGTGCTGACCACGAGACATCCATTATCTGCCAAAGTTGGTACTAACTTCGCCGACAAGCGACGGTCACTCGGTTGGTATAGTTCGCTTGCGGACTACAGGCTACAGAGTTTCTTGAGAACTGGGTTTAAATTATTGATACGTGGTTTCAATAATTTTCAACAAAATACAGTAGCAGTTAACTAAGTCAGAATAAAAAAAAAGTCTAAATATTTCGTATTTAGCCGGTCACAATAGCCGGGCCGTCTGGGGAATGTATTGTCTTCGCCCGTTCTGAAGCCGGAATCGTGGGTTCGAGTCCCACTCAGGGTGCGGATGTTTGGTGATTGTGTGTGTGTGTGTGCGTGCACGCTCTTTTTTCTGTGTTCGTGTGCGAATAGCTGATCACCAGCCCAAGGAGTCCTACCGAATGTCTAAGATCTAGTAAACCTAAGTGAAACGGAGAGTTCCATGGAGGCAGGTCATGGCCCAATTTGGGTTGTAGCGCCAAAGAAAAAATCGTATTTATATATATCTGCCTCAAACGGGAGTGACAACTTGTATGGTTACACGATAACAAGGGTTGATTTCGAAATATAATATGCCTCAATAACTCATATGCGAAACTCAACATCACTTAATCATTTTAAAAAATGTAGTCCTCAATAAAGGAGATCCAAAAGGAACAGACTGGCTGTCAAAAACAACTGAAATTTTAAAAATATTCTGTGGGAAGATAATTACATTGGCAACACTGGGTAATCAATATTTGTTAATCTTATCTGAAATTAATTTGAAACTTCACATCGTTCTCGGATAAGCAGAGGGATCAGTCCGATGTTAAGTAGTAGCATATAACCTTTCCTCTTGACAGCATTAATGCAGCAGTCTTTCAACAGTATTATTTCAGCAAAATAGTTTTATAAAACAACGATTCCACCGCCTAATAACCATTTTCCAGCTACTTCTCAGACTCACAGCATGGCGAAAGGCGCCAACAAACTGTCCTGGACTCAGAAGCCAGTCATGGGAGAAACTTACAGAATAAATGAATGTTGCTGTTGTCTCGGCAGTCTGAAGTATTGGACTGTCCTCATCGGCGTCATTTACACGGTAACGTACGAAATCAGATTATTTTTTTAGAACAGTTCACAGTTGGACCCGAAATTAAAATGAATATTTTCGTCCCATTGAATCAACTGAGCCTTTGAGACAGTCTCTGTTACATTCAGCTGACCAGAAATTGCTGTTGAGTAATTTTCTGTTGCGTATAATATGTACACACTATAAGCCTATTTGTCTGTAGAAAACTTCATAATGAAGAATTTCGTAACTTGTTGTCTTCGCCAAGTATAGTTAGATTGATCAAGCAACGAATAATGAGATTGGCAGGGAATGTAGCAAATATGGGGGAGAAGAATGCATACAGGGTTTTGGTGCCAAAGTCAATGGAAAGAGACTACTCGGAAGACCTAGACGTAGATGGTAGAATAATATTAAGATGGATCTTACAGAGAAAGGATAGAGTGATGTGAACTGGATTGGTCTGGCTCAGGATCGGGACCAGTGGGGGCTCAGGTCAACACGGTAATGAAATTTCGTGTTTCGTAAAATTCTGGGGAATTCTTGAGTAACTGCGTGACTGGCGGTTTCCCAGAAAGTGCCCAGGTGCATGGAGTTAGGTATTTCTATGTATATAACTAGTTAGTTAGTTAGTTATTGGAGAGGGTGGGTTTCCCCATGCACTTAGACCAGTATTGGTCCATTGTGTTTCCCTCTATGATATTCTACCAATCTCTATACCCTACCGATATTGGTGCGTACTATCAGTCCCGCCGAGCCAGCGAGTTCGGCCTCCACTGGCTTGGTGATGTCTATAATGCTTCCCCCATCTATCAGAGGATGTATATATCTATATTTATGTTAAGAGATGGAAAAACTGTGCAACATACTCGAATTTGATATTTAATTTTCAGAAATTTTTGTGTTTCTCATTCATTAAGAAATTTCTTGGGAGTCCTTGCCGGGGATGTAATACTACACTATACTGTACGAGGGTAAAGACACTGAGCTGGATCATGTCTCAAACACAATATCTGCAGCATGATCCATTTTCAAATTTCAGAGGAGTAATATGCATAAGGCCAAAGCTTCTCTACGATAATAAGTGTGAATTTTATTACACAAATTCCCAACATGGGTTTTTATATTCGAATTGCTGCGAAAAAAGGAATGGCTGTCTACAGTTTCGTATACTCATTTCATATCCGAAATAAATTGGGTAATGTGGACATGTGATTATTATCCGTAAAATGCAAACTTGAGGAATACTAACGTCTGCGGTATTGATTACATCCACTTGAATATCAAGGCCTTTCAAAAGTAAAGCTTATAACTACGTAGCTGCAAGGGGCAGGGCCCAAACGTTTATTACTTCGTTCAAAAAAGCATGCCGTTGGGAACAGACGATTGCAATCATATCCTAATTTCATATTTTTTGTTACGTATTTTGAAAGTGTTCCTTACCTCTGTCAGAATGGTCACTTCCTTACAAGAATTTTGTTGACATTTTATCCTAACGCCCATCTCCCCACGAGGGTTTCTTGCCTCTCCTTGCACCCCCCTCGATCTGATCACCCTAATTATATTTGGTTAAGGAACCGCATTAGGTTTACTCTTCTTGTGCATATTTCTCCTTCGTTATACGAAAATTTCTGTCTTAATCAAATTAGTCTTCTAAGCAATCAGCTGTCAAACATTCTCAACCTATGTAAGAGCAGAGGTTTTAGCGGCGGTCGCTAGGAAAAAAGCAGTCTTCTTAGATGTGGCGCCGTGTGGATATTGTGTTAACCGACGTTTCGGAGGAACGTATCGCCTCAATTTTCAGGGTAGAAGAAAAAAGAAGAAAATCTGCGAGCTAGGAACCAACGTCAGCAGGTGCTAACAGACTAGGAAGCTGCTGACGCTGGTTCCTCGTTCGCGGCAATTCTTCCTTTTCTTCTACCCTGAAGATGGAGGTGATACATTCCTCCGAAACGTCGGTTAACACAATATCTACACGGCACCACATCCCAGAAGACTGCTTTATTCATTCTCAATCTTGTTAGGGCGAGTCCAATTTTCATACTACACAGAACAATATGCTTTAGACATGCAAGTGTCATGTTACTCTCTCGTCCAGCCACCGTATAGAACAATGGGGAGCTGCTTCGACCATTACATCCAACTTCATACTTGTGAAAGATGTTGCCACAATATCCTGTACATGTTTACTTATATTAAAAAAACAATTTCTTTCTGTAGGTCGCTTTTTACAGAATAAATTTTATTTATATATCTTAAACATAAGCATCGTGTTCTACACTATACATATATGTATATATGGTATACAAAAATGTATATATATATATGGTAGAGCACATGCTTCAAATATAAGCTTATATTTAATGCATGTAATTCAGACTGTTAGAAAACCGAGATTAACAGACGTGGGGATTCGTTGCGCTGACCACGCGACACCCTCTATCAGCTAAAGTTGGCACTAACTTCGCCGAAAAGCGGAGGTCGTTCGGCAGGTATAGTTCGCTTGCGGACTAAAGACCACGGAGTTAGCTTAGTTAATTCAGACTATGTTATGGCTATGTATATGTAACATAGTTCACGGTGACCGTCTGGTAGCGGAACGGTGAAATGTGAAAATACACGCATATGACAAATCGTTTAGACCAATAGGAGGATCTTACACTGTTGCAGATCCTGTCTCTGCTCTTGGTGTCAATAAGCTTCTCCTATATTCCAAGTATGGAAGTGACTGATCCTGAAGTCAAACATGGACAGTACGGCTACGAACTCGGCCTATATGGTAAGTATACGGAAGATTACATAACTTAGTTTATTTTTAATTCGCTTAGTGGGGGTGGAGTCCGACTGGGTCCACTCGGCACGGAGGTCACTGATTGGCCTATTGTAGCCTGCTCCGGGTGATTATGACGAGAATTTGGTGGGATGAAGATTGGCAGGGGAAACCGAAGTACTAGGAGAAATCCCGCCCCAGCGCCACTTTGTCCACCACAAATCCCACTTGACCAGACCCGAGATAGAACCCGGGCCGCCGCGATGGGAAGCCAGCGACTAACCGCTTGAGCTATGGCGCGGCCTAACATTACTTAGTTAGGAGCAGAAGTAGTGCTATTGTTTCACCTGTAAAACAAAAAGTGACTCGTTACAGGCCTGAGCCCGATTGAATTCCTATCACGGACACATACTATTCTCTTAAAGAGCCAAGCAAATCACAGAATTAGTAACATGCAAATTTAATATTCAGGTTGTTCAGGTTGAATTCCTTGTCGCTGTCAATAACAAAGGCGTGAATATTATATAGGAAATCCGAGAAATTCATCGTCTGAGATTCGAACACACTATTTCGGCAAAGGAATTTAGGAATGTTTCCACTACTCAAAACTAGCTGGATGCAGAGAGTCTTATCATGTTTGCCAACAGCAAGGATTAGTAGCATATCTGGTTATTGATAGATTGTCGACCATTTTCTGTTGGCCTGCAGTGGAACTGCCGTGGTCTTGTTTCTCTGAGGAATTGTCTCAGTCCCAGTAGGAGTTAAGGACACTGTCACATGTACTCAGAATTAATTATTCTTTTTTTTTTACATTTTCCATCGTCCGGTATGCTAGAGACTAGAAACACGACATTCCAAAACTGGATCTTTGTCCGTTCTTAGGTGAGGGTGGAACATACCTAATCATTTGGGCCCCTTAGAAAGAGCTAACCTCAGTCACTGGACACTCCTGTCAGATTTACACAGCTATTTAATCACCTGATGCTAGGCTAATTAGGAGGGATATAACTTGCGCTATGTTCAAACAAATCAGGAATACAGTAGAAATTATAGGTCTCTCACTGAAAACCAAGAAAAGCAATTAAAATGTTTAAAGAATACACGCATCTGATCTCGCTTACTACAAGTTTCAGTCAAGTTATTTCGCTGCTGTTGAATTTAATATTTCAGAAAATGCTATCTGAATATCCAGGTGGAGCAAGTCGAGACCACAAGAACGAGTATCATGTTTGGTGATGTGATATCTTTCCAAAGAGGGGAACTTTATGAAAAGTGTGCATTACTCTAACTTGTACACAACGAGTTACAATTATAGCTCCGCGACATTTAAACTCCTTTATCTGTGCAAGAGAACAACATGCAAGGAGTACGTATTAGATACAGCTCTATCCGAGCTACTGACAAGATCTGGATTTTGTAATCACAGGCCTTAAAATAGACGTTGCAGTACAATGTAAATTTTGAGGTAATAATAGGATAAAATGGGAACATATGTACTTGTTCTGCTAACTGCTACAGCGAACAAGCCATCCGTATTGTTCCTTAATGGAAAATTCAATTCGTTACAAGGTCGGAATCATATTACTCTTGTTAAGAACGCTCCTATATTATTCATATTTTTCTTGTATTTCACCTGTGCGTGGGAGCCATTGTAAACAAATTATTTATTTCAAGAAATTTAAAGTGCTCTATGGGAAATATTCTGTGGAAGATTTCAAACTAAACGAAGCTGTGTTCGTTTTCATAAGATAACGAAGCAACTGAAAGAGCCGATTGCTTGAATGGTAAACGACCATTAATTTTGAATATAAAAGTGCAGATTTATTATGGACACAAATAAAAGAAAACCCTCGTTATGACGGACTAATTTGTGGGAGGGATTATCGACGATGTCCTCTTTAACAGAGTGAAAGAATATTCACAGATGCATACCACAGGATACATAGCCAATACACACAATGTTTTTATATTGGGGTTCTCTTTTATTTTAAATATATTTTAACTATAGAAACTTCTCAGTACCTCAAAATCTCTAAAACTTCACACTTGAACACAGCTATATTTTGTCAGTTACTACTGAAATGCGGTATTTCCGGGTCCATTATAAAGAGGATTTACTATACCAAAATAGGGAATTTTTGTAACAAGAATAGAACATATATCCATGAGGTGTACATTCAGCTGTGGTATGTTACAGGAATTCATACGCTTGTCACTCTCATGAAGGTGTCGTCCATCTTGTGGCTCATCTTCAACCTTGCATTGCTCTATGGGGCCATAGAAGTGAGTATCGTTCTTTACCTTAAAGTTAAGCACTTGAACTGAAAGAAGTGAAAAGCAAGTGCCGTAAGGTCGCGATCCAGTTATATATGTACGAGTAATGTAAGTGACATTAGTATATACTGATTGTTTCTTTCAACAGGAACACAATGTTAGGAATATTACCACTTTCACGAAATGGAAGGCTAATGTCATTTTGGCGAAACTTAGGTATGCAGTGTAAGCGCTCAACAACTGCTGTTCAGTGTAGAGAATCGATTTTTCTTGGTGGAGCCCTACCTCAAAACAGAATCGTTTTAAACAACCTGGAATGATTACAATCACTGATTTGTATGTCCAGCGCTAAGAGCAACTGTGCTGTGGAAGTTCGTGAAGCAGTTCAGACAGCCAGGACATACGAACGTACCGAAAAGTGTTCGCTGCGGCAATTCCTACGAACATGCTTCGTTATACGCGGTTATGTATACAATGTTTTTTTATTGCTAGTGGGGTGAGACTAAGTCCCTTGTACTGCGGCCAATTCTGGCCTATTATACCAGCCCCAGATGATAGGTGAGGGTGATTGTGGAGCAATTGGTGGAATTAAGATTGACAGGGGAAACTGAAGTACTCGGAGAAAACCTGCCCCAGCGCCACTTTGTCCACCATAAATCCAACTTCATCAGACCTGGGATCGAAACCGGGCCGCAGCGGTGGGAAGCCAGCGACTAACCGCTTGAGCTATGGCGCGGCGCTGCCTTTGTATTTGCGTAAGTGAATCATTTGTTTTCCCCGTGTGCAGGCAGATTAGAATACCTCCACCCTAGACCTGCTAGTCCTAAGGGGGACGAAAAGAGAACCCAGTACCTGAGGGTATAACTGGGTCACCCTGTCTCTGGGAGACATAAACACAGAGACCTGGCCCACCAGGTTGCGCGTTGGACGCAAGGCTGACGATCTTGCTCTCGGAAAAAAAAATATTGTAATGGAATCTAAGGAAGTGAAAACCGGTTGATCTAATTCAAGATAAATCTGGCAGAATCTTCTAAAGAAGACGCTTCCTCAAAATGGCTGCCTCGTCGATGATGATGTTGATGACTTGTTTAACAAAGTCCAGTATGACATTTTCTTCGTACTGGAATGACTATTTGAAAAAAGGCAAACGCATTTCCTTGCGTGCGATATGATTTATGAATATAATCAAAATTATACTCCCACTTTAAGAGAGGGAAAAGAACACGAGAACCTTACAAACCGAGCATAAAATCAACTTAAGTAGTCCAAGTGACCCTCCTACGTACTAAGTGGAAACTATAAGACTAATGTAATAATCGATTCTTTTGCTACAAGTCTTAAGGTGCACTCTATTGAGAAGGCCATATTAAATCTTAAATATTTTGCAAACCATATATGAGAATGTAAAACATTTCTCAATTTCTTGAAAGAGTCTAAGCAAATATCACCTTTCATATCATGTAAATAAATTATAGGCTATTACATTTAGGAAATTCAAATCAATAATTTGTAAAGGTTTTACGTGTTGATTGGAAAGTGCGACACCAAGAGTAGCCTCTCGCTCTACTTATTTGGACTTCGGCATTTTAATCTATGTACCTTGTCGCCGAAAATTAATGAAGCTGAACTGGTATATATTTTTGCTCTTTTTGCATTCTTTGATTACTGGAAACGGAACGGATCTTGCTGTAACAATTCGTTTTCCGGAAGAGAGATGTTAACAGCAGCAACAACGTCAACAATTTGTGTACCTCTGATTTAGAACCTCGTGCAGACTGTTATTTTTAACGAATTTTTACTAACCAGCCTTGCTCCTCATGTTTAAAATACTGACAAGCAAGCTGAAAAATACAGTTCACTTCTACTCAACAAAAGAATAGTTTCAAATAACCACAGCAACATACTATGGAGGCACGACTCCTTACCTCTTCATCCTACGTATGTACGTAGGTAGAATCCAGCAGCTTGCTACGTCTCTTCCTCATCATGCTGAAGTTGAATGACTCTGAGGAACACAGAAATAGAGTATTGAAAGTCACTGACTGAGCAGTCTACGTATCTTCGTTGATTGCACAAGAAGTGAAATGCATACAGTCAGGTCATGTTAGAGTCTAAAGTAAACAATGGGGATATTTGACAAAAATGTCACTATTTTTCGGAGGAATGTGTGTGTTTCAATTTTCCGCACACTGACACCTGCTGCGATCTATGATAATGTGGCATTAAAACACGTTTCTAGGCAATAACCGAGAAACAAACAATTAGACAATTGCTTTTACTAGATAACGGCCAGTACACAACAACAGAAGAATGGTGTTTTCTGCGCTGTCCGCGCAGACTTCCACGCAAGCAAGAGCGGAACGGCGTTTTCGGTACCGTTCGTTCCTAGATGTTATAAACAAGCCGAATAGTGAGAAATAGTGCAGTGCGGGAAAGTGGAGAGTTAGTTGAACACTTGGTCACAGAACTGCAGTTCAGTCGTTGTGAGCTCCTGCTGTTAGAAGATGGTTGAGGCACGGGAACCGCCAACACTGAGTCACGCGTCAGCCAATCACAGCATAGAAAGCATCCACTGTTAACTAACGGCCCGGTGAACAAGTTCCCTCGGATAAACATTTCTTGAATAAACAGACCATCGCTAGGTTAAACCTTCAACACAATTGTCACTGCTACCTAATGACTGAAGGTTTCAAGATAAGTGGTTAGCAGAATGCAGTAGCCAGATGGGAGAAACAAGTGTTCACTGCAAGCTCGGAGCGAGATTACTTAACGTGGAGTAATATAGGAAGAATCGGAGAACCAGAGAGTCAGAGATCTTCACACGGCTTATCAGCAACCTGCGCCCTCCACTTCTTCAAATAGAGGTTCGTCCATATATTCTGTGCAACTGCAATATACATATATATATAACGGTTTACTAAATGGCTCTCTCTTCATATATCGATATCCGACAACCCAGAACAAGAACATCCGCTGTTGGAAGCCGCTACCAGACAACGACTGGTGAAAGAACAGCAGACTGAACAGTCTTAGTGCGTGCTGTAGTGAATTGTAGAGTGCGTGAATTGGATATAGCGCTACAGTTACTTGTATTTACGTTCTGTAAGAATTCATTAAATCCAATTACCAATCCAAACCCCGCCTATAATCACTCATATACGTGACAATAATGTATCTGCAGATCTCTACATGTCGCAAAACGTACTAACTGTTGTGATGTCCATACATTTCTAATGTCCTCGTTTCCTTTACAAATTCATGCTGATTTTTAACAATGTTTTTGTAGGTCTGTTTAATTAATATCCTGCTTTGTTCTCATTCCGAGTCAAAACTTGAAGGATTATTTTTTTATTACTGCTACTGGAGTGGTACTAAGTCCCTTATACTGCGGCCACTTCTGGCCTATTGTACCAGCCCCAGATGATAGGTGAGGATGATTTTGGAGCAATTGGTGGAATGAAGATTAGCAGGGAGAACCGAAGTACTCGGACAAAACGTGCCCCAGCGCCACTTTGTCCACCACAAATCCCACTGGACCAGACCCGAGATCGAACCCGGGACGCCGCTGCTGTGGGAAGCCAGCGACTAACCGCTTGAGCCATGGCGCGGCCCTTAAACTTGAAGGATAGCTTAATGGCAATATAATAGACTCACATTCTGGAGTACCTGGTTCGGATACCGGCCAGTTACCAGCTGTCCCAATTGAGACAGTGTGTGGTTCTTCTAAGCCAATCCATGAGAGAAACGAGATAATAATTTGAAAATGTGCCCGTCTGGTTCTTTCCCAAAAGAAGAAGATATTTAACGCAACGATTTCGCTAATGTTATTATAAAATGGAATATGTGGTATATTTTGAGAGAAGAACATAAATTAGATCTGTCTAGATGTATTTAAACCTACGAATAACGAGAGGTTATTTCAGATAGTGAAATCCAAGAGGTTTTGATGTGCCGTGCACGTAGATAGGATCGCAGATACAAGACATGGATACGGAATTTTAAAGAAATTACCTCTTAAGATAATCTTCTCTCTTAAAGAAAGAGGTAGACGAAAGAGCAGTAATAGTACGGATCTTCGGGAGGTCAGTTGTGATGCAGATAGCAATGCCTCCGTATCGTGCCCAGTGTTGCTACTTATGTTAGTAGCATTGCATCTTCGGCTTCCACTACACGAGAGTTACTGTTCTGTTCAATCTGTCAACAGGAGAAGCCCGAATTCGTAATCCTGTGGATTGTATGGCATCTGGTGGTCATCTTCATGCAAGTGATAATCGCTGCTTGGGTCGGAGATATTCTTACCAGGCACATTTGGGCCCATTCAGTCGAACTGGGTATTCTGATTGTGTCGGTTATAATCAGCGAAGGTGAGTGATTATGCCAAGCTCCTGTTTGGAAATAAATATTTCTGGATTTAATATATGAATTAACACATGAGTGCTGATAGGAGCAAATAGTCAGTAACAATTTCATAAAAGAGCTAAACGTACGAGGGATATTCGGAAAATAAATTCCGTTTATTTAAGGCAATTTATACAGGAGCGGGGGACAGCTCGCGCATGCGAGGTAGCGTCACATGACTGATTGTCTTGGAAACCATCACATAACGGGTCACCTAAGTGTTTGTTCTTGTCTATACATAGTGAGTTATGGTGTGTCCTGCCTTTGATGACCCCGCCAGCTGCGAAATTCGGGCTTTTATACGCTTTTTTCCCTCTAAAATCATGAATGCTGCGCACATATCCATCGTGAATTATGGTCGGCGGCTTATGTTTAAAATGTAACTATTGCAGGAACTGCAGACAATGATGTAAAATGCTCAAGGTTGAGTGAATTAATTTTCACGGTGAGGAACGAGGTGGTTATGCATTTATAGTGAGTGATCTTGTTCAAATTGTTGAACAAGAAATTTTTGTGAACGACGGTGTTTCACAATTTCAGAACTTTCGTGTGAATTTCCACAAATTTCATGCACTGTTTTCTGCGAGCCATTGACAGTTAAGCTAGGTTGTAACAAGTTTTGCGCAAGGCGGGTCCCGAAAATACTCACAGGAGCATACAGGCTGGATGGGCCCTAAAGCCGGTCCGGACAATTGTAACCGTCCCCTTTCTATCTTTGTATTTATTTGCCGGCTTCGGTAAATCACTTGACTCTTATCAGGATCGTGTTGCGGTAATAACTGAGGCAACTGGAAACTGCACATTTAAAGCCAGTCCACTGCTAGAAATCAACGACACTATTTCTGCCCTCCACAAACGTTTATTTCAGAAGCGAAATACTATAACTTCATTAGCACGGACTAATTAGTACGGACTAATGTGCCCTTTTTATTACTATCAAAGATTAAGCGAACCAAAAGAAGACTGATAAATTTAGATAAACTTGGAGACTGCAGCCCAATGACGTCTGCCTCCGATGAATTCAAAACGCCAAGTTCTTCTGAAGACTCAATCGTGCGGTAGCGTCGCTTCATTGCCTGTGTAGGATTTGAATCGACGGCCTCTCTCCCAGAGAAGAATAGTTTCCTATTGGCCGATTTTAACTGGCCAAATCCATCATGCAATCAGCACTAGACAATTATATAACGAACTTTGAGAATAAAGAGATCCAAAGATAAAGAACCCGGAACCCCACATGTGAAAGCAGTTATTTCTTAGTTTAGGGTCCAATTACACCCTTCCGAAGACACTTTTATGACAGCTACACTATCAGCAAAAAAAAATTACATCTTCGGCAAATTACAAACTTGCCTCCCGTGGTGGTCTCGTCCCTTTTCTGGTCTTCAAATCAGCGGGTAACAAAACAAGGCAGTTGTTTCTGTCCAGATGCGAAAAGCAAGTCATAACATGCTAATGAATCTGTTTCCCCAATAAATCAGTCACTCTACTGAAATGGCTAAAGAGGGGCACAGCGTCCCTTGAAGAGTTTTAAAAGGTTTGGACTGTCACACAATAGAATTTTGAAATATAATAATTGTAAAATATCTTGGTCAAAATCATCTGAAAGAAAGTTGCCACAAGAAATTTTATCAGGTTTTCAGCCTAAAGAATTGTTAATGTCACACAGTTGACATAGAAATTTCAAAAAATGTGTTTTGGAATTATTTTCATGATTATCTCTTGATTACAGGACTGCTGGTTTACTTTCTAATCGTAGTGAGCAGCTTTTACCAGAAACTGAAGAAGCGGGAACAGGATTATGAACGTCTGCATTCTACGACAACCATCTAGTTTCTCCGTAACAAGCCATCGAGGATTATACTACCGTTTTGATGTAGGTTTCACAGTCGAAGAAATGACTCAACAGTAGCAAACAAATTTACTTCACTTACATATTACTTCATTTCTATTAAAATTTTTTTGTTCTCTCATGATGTGAAAACATTTAGAGTTTGGACATTATTTCGACATACATTTGGTAAAAAAAGTAAAAAATCTTCAATATGGGGCATATTTACAAGATGCACATTTTAAAATTATCGTAAATATGTAACTAGGATTTTTGTATTCGAATATCATACTGAAAAGTAATTAATTGGTATCAAGTTTGAAGTTAATACAAATACTCTAAGATTATAACAGGCTGATTTTATGAAATGTATACAAAATGCTAATCAAAATAAAAGGAATATATTCGCGACACGTTTCATTCTTCTTCCAGAAATTAATTGCTTATAGTTACCAAAAGTACTGACGTATTCCGTGTGTGAAGCCTTGTCCCTCGATCTACAGGAAGGAAAAAGATTCCGGTTAAGAATGAAAAACTGGGGAAGCTATTTGGTTCTAAAGATGCGTCCACATTACTCGTCGTGCTCGTGTGACTCTCTATGCTCGCGAGTATTTTGGACGATTATGACAAGTCACGAGACAAGCAAATTTTTAATTTTTAATTTAAAAACTATTGTCAATAAATTAAAATACGACTACAGCCTATACACACTACGAGGAAATGTACGGATCCTCTCGCGCCGAACCTGGCGAGCAACTGAAGTAGTGTGGAGGAAGATTTACGGGCACAGGTAAAAGCCAGACCAGTCTCCTGACGAGCACGAGCACGAGTAATGTGGACGCGCCTTAAGAGAAGTGAACTAGCACAGGATCACATACACGAAGACGCAGACACACACACACACACACAAACACACTGACTCGTCACTGGCCTAGGGCTGGAGATTGACTTTGTTATCATTCGACACTGTACGTGTGTTAGTTTAATTAGCCATCTAGAATTGATACGAAAGGGCAAAGAACGCGAGCTCAGAATGTTCTAAATAAATTGGGGCCATGTCATTTATCTTCTAAAGGCCACATTGCAGATCCAAAGACTCTGTAGAGGACGTATGACTTGAAACGAAAAACATCGCGTAGTTCCTGGAAGATGTTATCTAAAGGAAATTGACGGCGCTGTTTTCACTAAGGCATTGAAACTATAAAATAGAGTATAATAAAGATTATAAATAGGATTCATAGTTACAGAATCAATCCTGAATATGTATAAACCACAGTTCAACGAATATTTAATGCGGTCTGACGCAAGAAATGTCTTGGCTCGAAATATAGATTCAGTAATTTTCAAAGCCACGCATTCGGAATAATATCGGGAGAATATAATTTATTTACTTACTTACTTACTTACTTATTCATGGAGCCGGCCCTTCTGGAGGAGCCGCCAATTCTGCAGCTACTCAAGAATTTCCTAGCATTTTATGGGACCAGAAAATTCATTACCGTGTTTACAAGAGCCCTCCACTGGTCTCTATTCTGAGCCACATCAATCCAATCCATACCATCCCATCCTATCTCTCAAGATCAATTTTAATATTGTCCACACACACATATGCCTTGGTCTTCCCAGTCGTCTCTTTCCATCTGGCTCTCCCACCAATATTCCATATGCATTCCTCGCCTCCGACATTCGTGCTACATGCACTGCCCACCTTATCCTCCTTGACTTGATCATTTTAATTATACTTGCAGAAGAGTATTCGTTTTGAAGATCCTCATTATGCAGTTTTCTCAAACCTCCTGTCACTTCATCTCTCTTTGGTCCAAATATTCTCCTCAGCACCCTGTTCTCAAACACCCTCAGTCTATGTTCCTCCCTTAAAGCCAGATACCAGGTTTCACACCCATACAGAACCACAGGCAAAATTATAGTTTTGTATATTCTAATTTTTATGTTTTTGGACAGCAGATGAGAAGACAAAAGGTTCTGGACTGAATGGTAGCAAGCATTACCCGAGTTCAATCTCCTCTTAATTTCCTCCTGAATAAGGTTTCGATCTGTTATCGTTGTTCCCAAATATCTGAACTGTGCCACATATACTATGCTACACACCCAATAGGTAATTCCACTCCGAAAGAGTGCCTACTTTCCAGAGATTAGGTTAATCACCGCGCGTGGAATCTCTTACACAAACATTAGCTGTTATTCTGAAACAACCAATACAATTCGGATTAAAATTAACTTAAGGTTTTGCAATAACTGCGTCGATTAAGAGTGCAAACAATTAGCATAGGAATGCTTTGTGTTAACTAAACAAATATTAACATAGACTGAGGGTGTTTGAGAACAGGCTACTGAGGATAATATTTGGACCGAAGGGACATGCAGTGGGTGGAGGTTGCAGAAAGCTGCATAATGAGGAGCTTCATAACTTCTACTCTTCGCCAAGTAAAATAAGAACGATCAAGTCGGGTGAGATGGATAGGGCATGTAGCACGAATAAGGGAGAATAGAAATGTATACAGAATATTAGTAGGAAAGCCAGAAGGAAAGGTACCACTGGGAAGACCAAGACGTAGGTGGGTGGACAGTATCCTTGACAGAGATAGGATGGGATGGTATGGATTGGATTTATCTGGCTCGGTATATGGACCAGTGAAGAGCTCTTGTGAACACGGTAGTAAACCTTCGGATTCCATAAAATGCTGGGAAGTTATTGAGTAACTGCCCAATTGGCAGCTTTTCAAGAAGGGCTTAGCTCCATAAGCAAGCGAGTGAGTGAGACACATTCAATATTGAACTGCGACTAGTTCAAAATGCAACCCATTCGTAACTAACTAAGCTTCTCCATTGCACTATCCCATCACTGTTCCTTCGTTCCAGTCCAGTTCCTCCTCTTGAAGTTTAATGCTTTAACTGAAGAAATGAAACAAATTCCGCAAAAGTGGAATATGCGAAGAAAGGAACGGTTGCAGTATATGTGTTAGTACGCATAAAAGTACCAGTAATTCATAAAAATATATATTGCTAAAACTCTGTCCCAATTGCAGAACCACGTTTAGAAATACAAATTATCTTATCAGAGTCTCTGCTGAGGAATGTCACAGCTGATAATAGATTCAAGTTCTCACACACAAACATAGGAAGAGCATTTTATCAATATACAGGGACTCTCCGCTCTCAGTCAGAATAATACTGTGATGGCTTGTGTCAGAGTCAGAACACCTTTCTGTGGAAAGGGGGAACTCAGATGTGCGGTAGTTTTCGTAGGTGTATTTTACTTGGTAGGTATCGTGCAACATATATTATTCTAAAAAAATGTAGATGTTCTGATAGTAATTCATCTTATAAGTAAACATTGCATATACAAGGAGCGTACAGGATACACCAGAAGAATTTTGCACTTTTGCATCTGAAAGAAAATAAAATGTGGAAATTACAATTTGCATGCAACAGACTTTCAGCGCAAATAATTAAAGTTTGTACTCAATAGTATATTATTGTTAGGGTGAGAATGGGGTAGGTACCAGATGTAGAATTTCGGTCTTCAAGACAGCTGTCTCAATGTTCGTAATTACTTCCCTTTCACGATCAAGGATATAGATTTGGGGTGAGGATTCCTGCTCATTTTTTCGGTGGTTCACTGTGTTGTCACCGATGTAAATTTTGTTAATTCGAGGCACTAACCTGGCATGTAAAAAAAAGTAAATTTATCCCTATAACAGGCCGTGGAAGCCCATAGGGTTTAGATATGATCAGGTTCCCACATTTTGTAGACAATCGACTCACAGATGTCGGCAAGGTTGTCAGTCTTACGCGCCGATCGCTTTATACCCCCAAGAACATTCTAAGAATATTCCTGGAACTCATTTCTGTTAGAGGCTGATTCGACCCCAGGGCCATAGTGCGGCTGGAGGAATTATGTCATTTGAAAAAAAGAATCCAATGACTTCATCGGGACTTGAACCAGAGATATTCCGGCTTGTAGCATAGTGCTTCAACCAACTACGCTACTGCGTGCCCCCTGACCTGGCATGTAGAGGCAATAAATATATATATATATATTTAGTAAAGGGTGTCTAGGAAACACGTCGACACCTGTGCTGTATCCCAGACATGTCTTCTAACGATTTCTATCTCTTTGCATTGCTGAGAACCCAGACACTTGACACGATGAACAGGCATCGAGCATGTCCTCCAGAAGTTACGGCAAGGTCGTCCGCAGGTTTGTTTAAAGGAGGTGAAAAATAATCAGTTAAATTTGACGTCGATTAAGTAGCAAAACAGAGGTATAATAACACATGTGCATGGTATTCCCTTACTTCTTGAGAATTATGGATGGCATTTCCAGAGTAATTCCATCCAATATATACAAAATTTACTTAGAGCTCGCAGTCTATTTTTATCTTCCTAAACCCCATCTCCATTTTTCTTTACGGATAAATATTTCCTTTTGTATCTTTCATGTTTCTGTCTTTAATTCGGGCGCCTTTTTTTATTCTGGTTACTTACAGTTAAGAACAGTGTTTAATATTTTTCTTATAAATTAATCTTCTAATTTATGCTTGCACAAGTTAATAAACAAAATTAATCCAGGAAATTCATTGGACGCTCCTCGTATTACCTATTTCTGCCATATCTGCCAAATATACGGAAAGAGGCAACCAACATACCTGTAAATAATCCGACGATCCAAGAAGCAAAGGGATATTAAAATTTCAGTCTTATAATAAAATTCGCTATCTTTCGCCTAAGAACTCAGTAGCTGCAGAAAATCACATACTTAAGTAAAATCTAAAAAAATCGTAACTACGTTATAGTAATACAATGATACAGTTTCTGGACAATATCCATCGTTCTCATTTTTGAGATAGAAGTTTCTAAGACTAGACTACGTCTCTGTCCTCAGTTGAAAAGCCTTCTCAGTATGGTCCAATTAATAGAGCCCGATCTCTGGATGCACGAGTCCAGTATCTGAAAAGAAATTTAAATTAAAAATTAGGACAGGGAAAAATATGAAAAATCGAGGATTGCCCACATATACATGTACAATATGTCTCTATGATGTATTGACATTCACTCAAATTTCTCTCTATATAAATGACAAATATGGGTCACAATTTCCAGAGCATTCATAATAGACAAATTCTAACACAGAATTCATGCAACTATAAAAACAAATTTTCTGCCTTTTTCGTTTCAATTTACAATTGATAATTACACTTATTTTCACCTATTTTTCAAGCATTAGAAGAGGGTCACTTTTAAATACCAATAACCTCCTTGTAAAATTGCGGACCCATGCCAAACTAATGAATAATATGTAAAAGAATACTGAATTTGCGACTTGTCGAAACTCTGCTTATGTGTCTCAATTTCCATTCAATGTATTTAAAAATATTCTCTGATGTGTTACATTTCCGAAGCTAATCAATTTAAGCCGCCTGGCCGCGGGCCGGATATGCGACAGATGTTGTCCCGGAAATAAGTAATTATACAACTGGCGCCAACACATGCTAATGCTGAGTTGCAAATACGGCTATACGTGTTCATACGTGCCATGCAGTAAAGAACAGAACATTCTAGGCCTGAACATTAATAAACCGAGCACCGGGTTCAGCACAATGATCAGCAACAGGCTCCGATTGTCTGTACACTAAGTACAGAAAGTCCACGTCATCACTAGAACCGTACATGAGAACGTAGTTCCGTAGTCTCTCTGACAATACTCAAGATATCGTTCCGCTGTACTTGTCAGGAATCGAATCTGTCTTCCAGTCATGATCGAGCTCTGGCGAATAAAATTCATAGGACCACCTGAAACACAGACAACACAATCTCTCCACGAAATCCTTCTTATCTAACATTCGTAATAAATGAATATAAATTTATTGGACTAGCGATATCTAATATTGTGGTATGATGCAGAGTTTTGCGTACGTTACGGGACTGGAAATATCGCACAGATAATTGTAATGCATCTCAGATAATTCGCTTTCATAACTGTCAGTCTGAGATACACATGCACAGAAAAAGTCTCTCATAATGTAAACTTAAATATGTAACGGGTCTCTATTGAGCAATTACCACGTGGGTTGAACATGTTTCTTCTTTCTAACCTCACTACATCAGCTCAAGAACTACCGTAATTTCTAATTTTCATTGCGTGCATCATGTATTTATTATATATACAATTCTTTATTGGAATCCCTGAGTAACACAACAACATAACGATCAAGGTCAACATTACCTTAGCTACATGTTTCGGCTTTTAAAGCCATCATCCTGATGATTGGTATGTGTTATGTGTTTATTCCGTGTTTGTGTTGTTCCGTGTTTAGGTAGAGGCCTTGCAACGAGCTGATCACTCGTCCAAGGAGTCCTACCGTCTGTGAAAAGGGTCAAATTGAAAAAAGACTAGACACCGTACGGTAAGAGGCAAGGAAAGTAATAGTGTTTGTGTTCACATGGGCCGAAACTCTGCCAAGGAGTTCTATGAGTGTCCAATGAATTCATAATATCAGAACTCATTCTTATATAAACAGGTGAAAGGCCTCATTCCGAGTATAGTGAAGAAGAATAGCATATTTCACATATACCGTAAATTTGACAAGGAGCATATAATTATAATACATAACTCTTTTTTAATTTTATAATGGACCTAAATACCTGTAAGAGCAGAACATGGTTTAGCATTATTAAAATTCGTGTGAGCATTGTTTCGCATCAAGGATAAAGACAGGCGAACACTTCCTATTGAATTAAATGGCTACTATGAAAGAAAACCATAATTATCTAATATGAAAAGATAAAACCAGTTCAGTTTAGCTGTCTGTCGCATATGAAAGCACCACGTGGCTGAATTCAACTTGGAGCCAGGCTTGTAAATATAGAAATCCTAACGTCCTGTTCGAAGATAAAAATTAAGACATAATTCAGAATCAGTTCTCTTAAAGAACTGATGAGTGTTCCTTAAACGCAGTATTACTTTAATTTCCTATAGTCTCAAAACTAAATAACTAAGTGCATATTATAGGTTATTCTTATCCTGCTGGAGGAGTCCCGTATATTTCACACGAATCTCAAGATTTTGCCACTATGATCAATAGACTACGCTGTCAAATCCTATACTTCCCTGGCGTAGTTCATAATATCCCATCCTATCTTCCTGTGAACAATTTTAATGTATTCATATCGATCCTATCCTTGAGAATCTCAGGTCCAGTCGAATACTATTCTTCGCCGGCTCAGTTTACACTCTGCAATCCTTTCTCTCTCTCATCAATTTTAATGTATTCCTAATGATCCTATTCTTGAGATTCTCAGGCCCAGTCGAATACTATTCTTCGCCGGCTCTCCCATCCTATTTTCTTCCACAAATTTTAATGTAATCCTGTTGATCCTATCATTTAGATTCTCAGGCCAGAATTTTGTTTATATTTCTAATTTCTCCTACAGCCTCGGAAGAGCGGCTATTTCTGTGTCTCTGAGTTTCGAGACGATTAAACTCGGGGGAACGTTTGCTTCTTTGCAGATAATAGCGTTGGCGGGAACAGCCGCAGGCTTTGGATACAAGGCGACAGACTATGGATACGGTACTTACGGTATGCCATGTTCTCGCAACTGGTGTTCAAGTTACTGAGTTACTAATATGGCTATTGAATAATATCCTCTGCCTTCTTCTATTCCAGGAGAGAACTATTTTCTGTTGCTGTTGGGCGTATCTTGTGTCATATGGATCATAGTAAACATTCTCCTGCTTCACGGCGCCATTACGGTAAGATACAATTACTGAATGAGAAGTGCAGTTATGCTACCAAAATCCAATGGACGGAATAAAAGCAATTCAAAAGGATTCCGTACAAATCTGGATTTAGATACTGAGTTATTATTCTGATATTCGTAGTAGCCATGACGAAGTTAGAGTATCAGAAATCGTGGGTGAGGATGAAATTATTATCTTGTTTGAGGCTTTCGTGCCTTTACTCTGTTTGTTCACAGTTAGGCCCAGAGCATACTTTTTGAGTAGGCAGTGACCTCATGTTGCCTCTCACAGTGTCGGCACGGTCTAAGGCATGAACCGTCTTCGTCCGCTGAAACACTGGTGTCATGTGTTCGAATCCCACTCGAGGCATGAATCTCTGTATGCGTTTATTCAGCGCTTGTATTGTTCCGTGCCTAAGTAGCGGCCTTGCGATGGACTGATCCCCCATCCAAGGAGTCCTACTGACTGTGTAATGGATCAAGAGACTAAAAAGCGGACAAGTTCCAACAAAGGGCTATAGAACCATAGATAATTAGACAGATAGACCCCATCCTTTGCAGTTCTATGTTCCCCTTCAAATACCAAATTACGATGGAATTCTTTCGGTATTTTGCTTTACAGAAATATGCACAGGGACAGACACACATTTCCAGTTATGGTCATATATTATATACTCTCCTTATGAAATCATGGAAACTAAACTTAACCTGCCTTAGCCCATATTTGGTAGAGGGAATCCTTCCATATCAAAAGTAATACTTATAGTGCCAGGAATTGGTGTAGTCAAAAAAGTGATCCAGAAAAAAATCTGGGCGCTTATAGCTTGGGCCTTACACGTCATCTTGCAATTAATTTAAAATCTGTATTTATTTAATTAGAAGCAGCACAAGTTCCTTCTGCCATGGATCTACTGGCATGTGGTGCTCCCTGTCATTGCATTCGCCGAACTAATCTGGAGCAGCATCGTGATGGACAAAGTGTCTGTGTTTAAGGGTCCGCTTTATGGCTTCCTAGAAGATTCCATGGCTGCTGTGCTTTCCTGCGTCGTCACATTCCTGTGTGAGTACGCGAACGGAAGTAGCACTTCCTTCATATCTGATGAGTATGTACATATTCAGCTGTGATAATTAACAAATTTCAACATCATACAATGTTTTGATCTTGACTGTAAATATTGATATTCTGAAGTGGACTTCGTATAATATTGTGACATGTTGACCCCTACCTCCCCAGCGGTAACGTAACGCTCGCGTGATAGGCGAGTTCCCGCCCCGCCACTCCCCTCCGCGGTGACGTCACCGAGGGATATCGCGGTCGCTAGGCAACGCGAGTCAACAGCGGCGACGTTACGATAGTAACAGCGGTTACCTCCGCTAGCGTTACATAGCAACACAGCGCCAGGCAAAGAGGATGCCTATTACGGGGCCGTATTGTCCGATCGAGGCTACATAGGGAGCAGCGAAGGCTATTCACAGTTAGTTTGTACCGAGACAGTTAGCGAGTCCTGGAGCTACCGCCGAGTTAGCCAGCAACTAGTCAGTTGTATTGTGGCATTTTTCAGTGTACTAATTGTGATACTGCAGATAGCAGTAACCGTCAATCTGTATTTGGGCGATTGTATGAGCGAATGTGAAATAAAATTCGCTATATAAAATACGGCGTGAAGTTATTTGTCGCGATATACGCCCGATACGCGACAATATATACGACAAATTTCGGTAAGTATTGTCACGTGTTAGTGACCAGACATAGGTTTTGGATTGGTAATTTGATTTACTGGATCCATGAAAATCGTAATTACATGTAATTATAATACTGTCACCAATTCGCACACTCTACTTATCACTACAGCACTTGCAAAATTTACCATGTCTTCACCAGTCGTTGCCTAATAACAGAGTTCAACATTGTCCCCTTCTACTTATGTTGCTACAGGCTGACGTTCACCTCGACTCATGACGGTGTTTTCAAAGCCAAAGTCATTTTATCATTGTCGGTTTCCCACCAATCACTTCTATCCAGCATCAAGTCCAATAAGACCCACGATCAGGGCTCAACTGAGCCCTTGCGGTCATAGTCCTTATGTACGTCCTCTCTGATGAGAAGATGAATACGTTTGGCCTTTTCTCCAGTTTACGTATCGCACATGTAGCATGTTATTAAAAAGAACCTTCCTTTTGCTCTATATACAAGTCGTTTGTCAGCCCAGGCTTTGGTAAGCAGATCATGCCTATCTTACGTGTCTTATGCTACAACAGCAACTTAGTCACGTGAACGGTCGTAAGCTTGACCACCTCCAAGATTAAGTCTCTTATATTTTCTGCCTGACTTCGCCTTGTCCTATACTGCATACCGATAATCGCGTTCCCTTTGAAACGGGAACGAACGAGTCGTTGCCAGGTAAAAAGTTACTAAACACAAGAGTACCCAAGAGTACCGTGACAACCAACAGGACAACAGAGGAACAGTTCAAAGTGGTGTCTTCCGTGCGGGCATCGCAGAAGTTACAAAAGACAGTGCATTCGTGAATTCAAGTAGTAGTAGTAGTAGTAGTAGTAGTAGTAGTAGTAGTAGTAGTAGTAGTAGTAGTAGTAGTAGAGACCAGTCCGAGATTAATTAGTGATTAGTGAAAGACTAGTTTGACCGCTCTTTGCCCACCCCTGGACGCCACATCTACTTTAATCGTCTCCCACCGTTGTTGGTTGGGTGTCGCTTGGGTGTTCGTCTCGTCGCTGGCTGCTGGAGCTGCTGCTGGTGGTTTGCGGCTACAGCCTGTTTAAATCTGCTCACCCATCATCCTTAGCACCTCCTCTTCTGGTTGTCAGGTAATTAGTAAAGGGTTGGGCGACAGTAAACTTATGGAATTCGTTTACTATTTTGGTGGAGAAGGGGATGCTGGTGGGGGGGTGCTAGTTCAAGTTGATAGAGATGAGAATCAGTCTCAGGGCGTTTATCAGGGTCTCGCTCGTAAGGAGAAGGGGAACTCTTTCTCCTACGTAAGCAAACACTTGTTCACAGAGACACTTCATTGCGCTGTTACTCACTGGTGAACAGTCAACTAGATCATACGTCCATGATTTATTCTAACCGTCTTACAGTGCATACATTTATTCACCTTACTCTTCTCTCTTGCACTACATGTTTCGGCACTAAAGTGCCATCTTCAGGTGCTTTTCGTTGTACGTCAAACTACTTCATTGCATGCCCTGTTGTCTTTATACTGAAATATATACTCGTCATATATATTGATAAATTTTAAATATTAAAAATATTAAAACTGTTCAGGATTTGTCATCCTTATGTCGTATCTCAATACGCGAGTCACACCCATCTTCCTCTATCGGAGCATTCTTCCTACTTTCGTGTGTGTATTGTGCTTTGTGTTGTGTCTTGCTCCTGTGACTGCGTGTGTTATACTGCCTTAGATCATACGTGTTCCTTTATGCAGGACTCGCACTGGTGCGGCTGTAGAAGTGTTTAAACAGCTTGCTTAAGTTTCCAAATAGATTTCGGATGAAGAATGCAGTCTTCTGGGATTTGGCACCGTGTATATGTGGTGTTAACCGACGTTTCGGAGGAACGTATCGCCCCCATCTTCAGGGTTGAAGAAAAGTATAAGTAAATCTGCAAGCGACAACACCGTGAGACACGATAAAGCAGACTAAAGAGTATACCGTTAGAGCAGAGAGGGAAGGGGATGAACTGCAAGTGAACAAGTGAAAGCAGTGGTGTGGGAGGGGTGGGGGAAGGGAGCCGGGACAAGCGATTTTGTGTAGGGGAGAGATAGCAAGGTTAACTGGCTGGGCTTTAACTGTGAGCTGAGGGGGGGGGGTTGTTATGTTGGTTGGTCATGGCCATGTGGCTTCCTGGATCTAGCGTCATATCCCGGTGGGGGGTTTTTAAGAGAACAGATAAGAGGTTTCCAAGACTTGCTGAGACGAAACCCATCCTCTCTGTTCATATTCCCTGGATGCAGTTCGATCTCAATGGCTTCCCTAATGATGCGATCCATATAGCGCGTCTTGGTGGCGAGGATGGAGGTATTCTGAAGCTGAATGCGGTGTCCCAGTTCGATGCTGTGTTCAGCTACGGCCGACTTGTCCGGATGTTCGAGACGGATGTGCCGCTGATGCTCCTTCAACCTCGTGTCCACGGAGCGGCCTGTCTGCCCAATATAGACTTTCCCGCACTCGCATGGGATACTGTATACACCCGGTGTCCTTAGGCCCAGGCTGTCTTTAACCGGCCGGAGGAAATTGGATAATTTGTATGGAGGCAGACCCACTGCTTTGATGTTGTGCCGGGACAGCACTCTGCTGATACGGTTGAATATGGTCCCGACATAGGGAAGGAAGGCGACTGAGCCCGGTTTGTCTTCAGGCCGGCTGATGTTGGGCCGACGGTTGAGAACTCTGTGGATCTGCCGGTTGTTGTATCCGTTCTTCTTGAATACATCCTTCAGGAGCAGCAACTCCGCATGTAGGCTGTCTTGATCACACAGTGCTCTGGCCCTGTGCACCAATGTAGAAAGTGCAGCTTGCTTGTTGGAAGGGTGGTGGTGGGACGCAGCGTTAAGGTACAGGTTAGTATGGGTGGGTTTGCGGTACACTCTATGGCCCAGGGAACCGTCGGGTCTCCTGTAAATATCTATGTCCAGGAAGGGGAGGTGGCCTTCAGATTTCGGATGTTCTAAATTTTACTCCAAGCCGAGTCAATAGTCAGCGGGTCGTTACACTCACTGTTCCTATACACCTACACAAACTAACACGCAGTCACAGGAGTAAGACACAACACAAAGCACAATACACACACGAAAGTAGGAAGAATACTCCGACAGAAGAAGATAAGTGTGACTCTCGTACAGAAATACGACATAAGGATGACAAATCCTGAACAATTTTAACATTTTTAATATTTAAGATTTAGCAATATATATGGCGAATATATATTTTAGTTATTTTAGTATAAAGACAACAGGGCATGCAATGCAGTAGTTCGACGTACATCGAAAAGCACCTGAAGATGGCACTTTAGTGCCGAAACATGTAGTGCAAGAGAGAAGAGTAAGGTGAATAAATGTATGCACTGTAAGACGGTCAGAATAAATCATGGACATAAATCAGTGCAACAGGACGCTAAAATATAACAAAACTAACTTAACAGAATTTCTAGCAGAATTTACAGTCACACGTATGGCGATACAGAATTCGCGTCCGAACAATTGGTGAGCTGTAATACGACTATCTTAACAGAATGACTTCTCCTCAAAACTAGAAGTCCTGACAGCTTCTTATCGGCCCATGAGTCATCTCCTTAAATTTTAAGACTTGTCAAATTTGAACAAGAGGAGTTTACTTCATTTGCTATTCCTCCAATCAATTCCAGAATTCAAGGGAATTTAGACTCTAATGACTTAACGTAACTTTTGACAGCCGTTTGATGAATTCTACCGGTAGCGTGGGCTCTGGGCCTTCCCACTTTTGACATATGGTGTCCTGGACCTGGCAGAGATCGTGTTCCCAAGCAAATTTTGTGTAGAATTTCTAGGAAATAAACTGCAGGGGTCCTTCCTGTTTCTCTTTGAAGCTATGTAAAGAGCCGCTTTCTTAAGAGTAAGAATTGACCTATGTCCCTCTTGGATAATTTTTGTTCAAACAAGTAAATATCATCTAACAATATGATTACCAGTAGTAAATACATGTTCTTAATTTAAAAACTGAGATGGGGTTGACAGTACGGTTACACTGGCGAGAGATTCTTCAAGGAGGTTCTTTATACGGCTTGGGAAGGAGTTAAATGTTTAAGCTGTTATAATCAAATGTAACTGTAAAGAAGTGCCAATAAATCCAATCATCAAATCCAGAAACCATTGTTATTCGTCATTCTAACAACCCTAGGCTTGACATTATTTTATCATATCCAGCAAATGTTACTTTCTATGAGTAGTTACTATAGAATTTTTGTTCCTCTAGGTACGGTGATGTACTTCTTCATCTTGGTGTACAGTTTATATCGCGACTTGAAGGGCGTGGACAGCAACAATACTCCAAACACATCTGAGCGTCCTGTTATAACAGTGCTGCAGCCTGGTTACAACAAGTTTGCAGGAGCGCCACTTGGTCACCCAGTGTTGCAGACAGGAATGCCATCTACCAACACATTGTCGCAAGCTGCTCAGGCTGCTCAGTATGATGAAGCCGTAGCGCCGGCTTCTGCTAATCGGGAAGGAGAGACAGAGAACTATTACGTAATACCTGACGGCAAATAACTTCATTCAGTCTCTCTCCAGGCTCTCCGAAATAATAATAAGACGAACAATTGAATTCAGTTCTTTACTTGTTCACTTGCTCAGCATCCCAAAGGCTAATTACAATAATGCAAGCACGAGCAAAATAAAGAAACAAACAAACATACACACTGAAGAAAAAAAGTGGCTAATTTTATCATTTAGACCATAACAATTTTATTAGAGCAATCACGCAAACCATTATGAGATGAAACAGGAAGTTCTGGGAAGAACTAATCGCCTACTTCCCTTTCGCCGTAATTGTAGTACCTGATAGGGCAAGTAGAAAGAAAAGGTTAGTGTGTATGCGTAATGAAGTCAATAAAATGCTGCAATGTTGGTATTATTGATTGGAATTATTTGCGAGGTGCACCGTTGAGATGACCTCAGATGGCACGATATACATACACAAGTTTCATGACGATTGGTAGAATTAAGTTTATTGCTTCGACAAATTGAGAGGTTGTAATGTTGGTACTAGTAATAAGAGGGTTTCACTAGAAAAGCCGCTTCCAAAGATCGTCATACAACATATTTTGAGGGGGTAGTTCTACACCACAAATTGAATACTCTGGGTCAAATGAAAGTAGGAAGAATGCAAGCAAATACAACTTCACAGTGTGTGTACACTAAGAACGTTTGCAACAAACAGTTCAGTATGGAAATACTATATTATCTTTCTATCCGTAACCAATGGGTCTATTATACCTAGGATCCTAATAATGTTCCTGGTGTCCCAAAGCCGTGTTATCAAGAACTGCACTTAACGAGATATGATATATATATATATCACTGTCATCTTCTCCAAGCACATTTATCTGATCACGAGGCCTATTGTATTCAAAGTATCCACTAGTTTGTCAACTTTTTACAGAATATTACAGTTACAAATGAGTACTTAAGCTGTTCTAGTGTGTATTTAGCATTGACTACAAGCCACCATACATCCATAACGCTCTAATTATTTTACCTTCTCTTATTTTCTCTCTCTCTATCCAGTAACACCGTATCTCCCACTATGCTCGATTTCAGGGAGTCGTTTGTTGGGCTACAGGAAAAAAAATGAATCAAATTTCATATCGAAATATTTCGGATCCGGGGGGGAGGCTGAATTACAAAACGTTTGACCATGCGTAGGCCCGATACTTGACATATGTACCAATGAGTACCTGCATACTTGCTTAATCTATCGAAAATTTTCGTTTGTCAAAAAATTTCTACAAGGCGATCCAAAGTCACAAAGAGGAAAAATGATTAACTGTACTTTTTGCATGTTCCGTACAATAAGTACAAACTTCGGTCTGCCCGTCTCACAGCCCGAATATTTGAAATCCGAAAATTACGGAACCTGTTTGATGAAATATATTATTGACAGTCTACTCCGAAATGCTTCTCTCAAATATAATATCCATTTGAATCTGTATAATATACTACTACTTGATATATAACTGAAATCCAATTTTACCTAGTGAATCAAAATGGAAACCAACAAGAATATTGTCACGTGTTAGTGACTAAACACGGAGTTTGGGTTGATAATTGAACGTAATGAATTCATACAACCCGTAAATTCAAGTAATTAAAAATCTCTTGCTAATTCGTGTACTCGACTTCTCATTACAGCATATACTAAGTTTGCTCATTCTGTTTTACCTAGCCGTCGCTAGGCTATGGCTCCAACAACGTAAATTTATCTGTTCTCGTACCTAAGTCGTTGCTTGCTGGCTGGCTACCGTCTCACAAGCAAATGAAGGCGTATACTAACCAAGTTCTTCTCTTAGTCATATAAATTGCTTGTGGCCCTCGCCAGCGTAGTAATTCTTTATTCAGAGTCTCGTCAGACCCATAACCACATTTTCCTTTCCTTAACACTTTTTTGTGTTTATCGAACCGTTACCACGCAACGGAAAATGAAGACACGTCACGATATGTTACATAATAAACTACAGACCTTATTAAAATCTGCAAAGCTTTATGCAAATAATTGTTCCGCATGTGAAATATTTACGGAGTAACACACAGTCCCATCTCCTGAAGTAGTGCTGTTAATGTAAAAGTAAAAAGCTCTCAGCTGACCTCAGCCTTCCGACAGATGCTAGGTTTCATCACCAATCTTAGACGGATGTATTCTTCAAGGGGAGAGGAATTTTACAACGGTCAATATCTAAGACCATACGGCGTCGAATAACATGATGGATTAATTAAGAGGATTTGGAAGGAAACTCTCATTTCCTAATGGGGTTATCATCTGGCAATCGTCTGGAGCGACTGAGGAGAACTAGAAGCATCAGAATAGCCGACATCCCTTTTAGAGATCTGAAAAGAGCTCCTGCCGTAAGAGAGTCAGGAACATTACAGCTACGCCTACCCTCTAACACGGTCTTCTGGGAGTTTCAAGCAGCCGCCGTTTCTAGCAGTGCAAGGAATCTGTCAAAAGATGGCACCACAGCGATTTATTTTGAATGTTTACTGATAAAAGCTTCTGCAAGTCATGCGTGTGCTTGCTCAGTCACATCATTTGATCAGTGAGTAGGAGTGTCCGTAACGTTCGAGAGAGGCAGTGATCGAGAACGGAAATAAATTGGTATGTAGCGTAATTCTTCTTTTTTAGGACTTTTACGAATTACACTCCTCCGGCTTTCCCCAATTTGAAATTAACTTCTTAAGTTTTTAGATATTTGGTAGCCTGATCGGTCTATTGCATGACATCCACCAAGATAATAAAACTCAAGGATATAAGATGCAGATCATTCTCCGAGTGGGATTCGAACCTACGATCCAGCTGATCAAGCAGTCGAAGAAGGCATTACTTACTTTAAACAGTGAGTTTATTGTGATCGGATTTTAACGCATTTATTCTGAAATGGAGGGCGTAACTTTTTTTTTTTTACTTTCACCATACGAGCCGCTGTCAAAATCACGTTTTCAATTTAATTTGTCATATTTAGAAGGTAATTAGAATTTCCATTCGGATACCATATTATTAATCGTTAATGTGTGTATTTTCTGTATAAGTGTCTCTGAAATTCATGTGCTCTAGTTTTCGTGGCATCTCCAATTTATGGGACAATTCTAGATATTTCCCCATATGTGCAAAATGCTTTTTTTTTCTTTTTCTTTTTGAAAAATGTTTGTATGACGGACACTTTAAAATCTGAAGAACAGTCGATTAGTATAAGCACTATATTTAAGATACATAACATTGTAACTAATTAAATTCTCTCATATCATAGAGACAACACGTAAATTTATAATAACTGCAAATATTTCAGACGTGGGACATTTACACAACTGACAGCATAGTAATCACATAGTTTGGATAAGCAGACAATTTTAAACTACCGACTTTCCGAGAGAAATTAAAACATTTATGCTACATATAATGCACACATCAATCAGCGATGATTAAACAATATACTTATGGGAGTATATTTCGCTTGCGGGCTACATGCCACGGAGTTATGGGAGTATATTGAGAACATGTCAAAATTTAAAAAAATACTGTTATAATCTGCTTTTCAGTGTTTAATTATATTATGTTAGGTTTGAGGTTATCATAGAGGTGACTTTGAAGATTTGTTTATGAAATTAATGCCGTGTAGCAGGGTGGAAGGCAGCCGTTAATTCGATGGAAAATACAGCCTCCATCTTTGGTGTCGAAGAATAAGCCAAGCAAGAAACCAATAGGAAGCACGTAGCAAGTTTGCGTAACAAGGCTGACGGTGAAGGTCATGTATTTCTCCGAAACGTCGGTTAATTTCCACCGGATTACACGGAGTTATATCGCAAAAGCTGGGAATTTCTTTCGGTACTGTACAAGCCTCCGTGAAGGTTCAATTGCCGAAGTTACACTCTGTCAACAAGCGTACGTATTATCACGATTCAGTGTAAATATTTTGTGTTTCAGTGGTGAGAGTATAGATGTCTCTGAAAGTCTCGACTCTTTTGAAGAGTTCCGTACCTAAAAGTGCAATAGTTTGTGTAAATAGATTTTTCCAATTAATTCCTATTCTGAGTCTCCAACATGAATGATTTCCTAATTTTCCTAATGCCTCCAGAACGTGTACTAAGACAGTATGCTGTAAAATCTTTAGACACAATCGCCATTACGAGTATGATAGTACATTTTATGGTTCCGAAGGATTAGAGAGGTTAGGTTTCAAAGACATATGTTGGCTATTTCTACAAGATTGTAAGAATTCGTTTGTTAAACTCCTTGAGCAATCACATTGTTATTAATAATATTTATTTAAATTTTCCAAAGAAACGAAAAGAAATATCCAAAGAGAATTACAAGGTGTTTAGGTTAGCCTGTCTATCACGATAAAACATTTCAAACATTTTGTTCAGTGCGGCTAGTTACCTTAGCATCTCACAATCTNAATACAGATTTAATTAACACACAATAGTCCTCCAATCAGAATGAACGGTTACAAAGCTACCATATATCAAGCCAGGACTGCACTTAATGGCGGGATATTTAAAACGACTTCCACGAGAATTTTTCAAATATTGTGCACACCCTTTTTTAACCAGATAATTTAAAGACTACATACCGCCTAGACTAAGACGCTTAATGATTGTGGAGTAATTCGTAGAATGCGAATTCGCAGATGATGCCGAAATACTCCTAAAATCCGCCACAGGTCCACCACAAACTCCCCAACAGCTGACCCAACTATGGATACTGGGTAGCCATGATTGATATATTTAGTTGAATCAAGGGACGGAAAGACAAAATATATCTGAAAAAGGAAGCAATATTGTTTACAATAAGTTGTATCCGGTATTACAATCAATATATTACACTTACATATGAATGCGATTATGTACTTTATTTACATAAAATTATGTCTGGATATTACTTATAAAATTAATATCCTATCGCGATTTAGGTTTGTGCGTGATTTGTTAGGCGGATTTGAATTGGACGATTGATTTCTTGACACTTCATACACTCAACTTGGAACTACAAGTAACACAGCGCTATCGCTGATGGACACACTTCACATTTCGCTATTACACACACTAGTGTGAGTCTCATTGTTAACTGCTGCACACTATGAAGTCTTCTTTGCGCAGCCTAATTCATTTCTTGTCATTTCTTCTCAACTATTCTGCCAACTGCCCACTCCGGAACTCATTTATAATTCTAGCTGCCTGGGAGTCTCGTTACATAGACTCAAGGTGATCCCCACAGAAAGCACCGCTTTCTTTGTTGTTGCATGTTGATTCACTTCTGCAGGGATTATTTACGGCACCGTTGCGTCGCAATGAGCTCGGCGCTGACCACTGCTGCGCCCGTTCGCCTCCTCGGGAATGTGTTTACTAAGCCGTTGCCTAGTCATAAACTATTCCGGCTTTCAGGCGTCATGATGCAATACGTAACAAAGAAGGTCTAAATGAAATGAGCGGTTACAATCTTCCAAGCCGATACTGATTTTGTAAGGTAAAAAATTAAGGTATCCCTGTAACAGGTCGTGAAGGCCCTTAGGGTTGAGAGATATTGAGGGTCCCACATTCTGTAGACAGTATGTTCGCAAATGGTGGCGATGTTGTCAGCCTTACCAGCCGNTTAGGTTTGTGCGTGATTTGTTAGGCGGATTTGAATTGGACGATTGATTTCTTGACACTTCATACACTCAACTTGGAACTACAAGTAACACAGCGCTATCGCTGATGGACACACTTCACATTTCGCTATTACACACACTAGTGTGAGTCTCATTGTTAACTGCTGCACACTATGAAGTCTTCTTTGCGCAGCCTAATTCATTTCTTGTCATTTCTTCTCAACTATTCTGCCAACTGCCCACTCCGGAACTCATTTATAATTCTAGCTGCCTGGGAGTCTCGTTACATAGACTCAAGGTGATCCCCACAGAAAGCACCGCTTTCTTTGTTGTTGCATGTTGATTCACTTCTGCAGGGATTATTTACGGCACCGTTGCGTCGCAATGAGCTCGGCGCTGACCACTGCTGCGCCCGTTCGCCTCCTCGGGAATGTGTTTACTAAGCCGTTGCCTAGTCATAAACTATTCCGGCTTTCAGGCGTCATGATGCAATACGTAACAAAGAAGGTCTAAATGAAATGAGCGGTTACAATCTTCCAAGCCGATACTGATTTTGTAAGGTAAAAATTAAGGTATCCCTGTAACAGGCCGTGAAGGCCCTTAGGGTTGTGAGATGTTGAGGGTCCCACATTCTGTAGACAATAGGTTCACAAATGGTGGCGATGTTGTCAGCTTTACGCGCCGGCCGCCCTTCACCCCCCAAGGAAGTTTCCTGGTACACATTTGTGTTAGAGGCTGAGTCGGCCCCAGGGCCATAGTGCGGCTGGAAGGAGTAGATGAACTGAAAAAATCCAATGATCTAATCGGGCATCGAACCCTCGACCCTCCGATTTGTATCATATTGCCTCAACCAACTACGCTAAGCTGTAGCGTAGTTTGTCGAGGCACTATGCTACAAGTCATAACGCCGCGGGCTCGATTCCCGATGAGGTCAATGGATTCTGTAATGTAATGAAATGAGATACGCTTTACCGAATGGATTACATAGGAAGTAATAGGCTCACCTCCCTTTCTTTGTAATCATAATTCTTGTGACTCAAAATATCTTTCTCTTCAACACAAACACTTACCACGAGACTACAAAAGTTTTATAATCTGTAAGGTAATGTTACGATAAATTTGTCACTTTATGTTTACAGGCGTTCTGTAACACTTCCTTATATATATATCTCTCTCTTTCTCAGTTTGTACCACCACCCAAAGTTATCGCAGGGGTTAAAACGTCACTGACCTTGACACTGCACTTGATTTCATCTAATCTCTTCCTCTCAGCTGCATTCTTTGTAATCAATCGGGACTCTCTGTGAATATACTAATAAGCAACATGAGAGTATAGCGAGTTCCTTCTTATACCTCCTTTTTTCTTTATTTCTGGTGGGGTGGGACTAAGTCCCTTGCACTGCGGCCATTTCTGACCTATTGTACCAGCCCCAGATGATAGGTGAGGGTGACTGTGGAGCAATTGGTGGAAGACTGGCAAGGTAAACCGAAGTACTTGGAGAAAACCTGCCCCAGCGCCACTTTGTCTTCCACAAATCTCACTTGACTGTACACGGGATCGAACCCGGGCCGCCGCGGTGGGAAGCCAGCGACTAACCGCTTGAGCTACGGCGCGGCTTACTTGATTACCTTGGCCTTGTCCAGAACAGCTCGCTCCTACTGGCTCAATCTCAGATTACAAGCTGCTAGTAGCATTGTTACAATAAGTTATATCCGGTATTACAGTCAAATGGATAGGCTACATTTACATATGAATGGGATTATGTACTTTAATTATATCAAATTATGTCTGGATATTAACTAACTAACATACATAGAAAGCAAAATCTATAAAACAAAACGGTTACAAGAATCAGTGGAGCTGTGGAAACAACAGAATCGTTTATGTCGACGGTAGTACATTGTTAAGGGGTCGAAGTGACGAAGAAAACTTCACAACAATAAGCCCGACAGAAAGCAAAAATGGAGATTTTCTTCTCTTGACCACTCAGAAGAAATGATTCGCATTTTTGACTCAGTTTTGAATCTCTTTCTATGTCTTATGGTACACGTACTCAAAATGCCACATGTAGCGACTTTCGGTTAAGGAACAATACCTACAGCTTATACTATAGTCATCTGACATGGAAAACATGGTTTACAGAAATGTTGTTAAATATTTTCTTGACATTATTCCTTTGTGAATTCGAAAATTTCACATTTATCTAATTAAACTTCGTCACATTCTAATCACGATCACAGGATTAGTGTTACTGCTACTTACATGTAAGCACAGAATTTCTTAACTCTGTCTTATACCTTCTGATAATGTGTTAACTGACCTATGCAACTTGTTAACTGACAGTATGCTGTTTATAAAACAGTTTGCTTTGGTCATTAGCGAAACTAGATTGTCACAGTCCTTGCTGCAAAACATTCGAGAGGCCCCTATGATGTAGTGAGAAATTTACAGTCATGAAGTACCAATCCTATACATAGCTCAAGCGGTTAGTCGCTGGCTTCCCACCGCGGCGGCCCGGGTTCGATCCTGAGGTCTGGTCAAGTAGGATTTGTGGTGGACAAAGTGGCTCTGGGGCGGATTTTCTCCGAGTACTTCGGTTTCCCCTGCCAATCTTCATTCCACCAAATTCTCCATCATAATCACCCGGGGAAGGTACAATAGGCCAATCAGTGGCCGCCGTGCCGAGTGGACCCAGTCGGATTCCACCCCCCACTAAGCGAATTAAAAAGAAACAAATCCTATATAGTCCTAATCCCGATCCTATACGCAGTCGGTAGGACTCCTTTGACGGGGGATCAGCCCTTCTCAAGACCTCTACCTACACAGAACAACACAAACACAGAAAAAACGCACACAATACAAGCATCCATGCCGTGAGTGGGATTCGAACAAATGATCCCAGTTTTCGAGCGAACGAAGACAGTTCATGCCTTAGAACGCTTGGTCACTGTGATCGCCAGTACAGTCAACTTAAATGTTTTAAAAATACACAGCATGACTTCAGGAATGATTTCCTGATATGTAGATAATAAAAATAGTTTATATCAATATCACCTCAGCTCTTCACATTACCTTACAGAAAACGTTCCATATGTTCACCTCCTGCCTGAATAGAGGCCCAAATTCCTGGCATGTTTCGTATTGTCTGAAAACCCGCGACAATTCGATTTCAGAGTGTTTCCACATCGTCCACTAGAGACGAATACACCAACGATTATAAATGGCTCCACAAGTATAAATCCAGTGGAATTAAATCAGGTGAGCGTGGTGGCCAGGCAATCGGTCCACCTTTACCTACCCACCGACCAGGAAACTTTCGATTCAAGAACCTGCGGGCAACAAGACTGAAATGTGAGGGAGTACCATCAAGCACGAAGTGCAGTTCTCGATAAGTGATCACTGGCACGTCTGTCAAGAACTCAGGCATTTTTTTTCCAAGAAAGTTTTGTAAATTCGTTCCTAAAGCCTGTTCGGAAGTACGTGGGGTCCGAATCAATTTTCACCACAAATACCGGCCCAGATATTGATGGAGAACCGCTGTTGTTGAAGTGATGGAAGATTTTCATCTACACTCAGGTGCTGTTTGTGGAAATTCTAGATTTCATTTCTTGCGAACTGTACGTCATCCGTAGATATCACAAAGGCAGGGAAGTTAGGGTTTGAACCACTGGTAGAAATTTACTCGAGCAGGGTAATCTTATAATGACAAGACCTCTACTTGCTGCAGATGGCGGGGATACAGCTGTTGTTCTAGCAACACTCTCCAGACAGTCGAAAGAGTGACACCCACTTACCTTGAATTCTTTCGTGTGCTGATTCCAGAGGTTTCATTTGCAGCATCCAGAATATCCTCCTCTATTTCAGGAGTCGCAGTAGATCTTGGCCGTTCCCTGTTGGTAACATGAGGTGCAAAACTCCCATGTTCACAAAGGCGGCGATGGATACTTTAAAAAATATTTTCCTATCTGGACATCTTCGTCCTCGATACATTTCTCGGCACAAACGACGAGCCATCAGAGCATTACCGTCTTGCCAAAACATACACGAAATGCATATCGGCTAGCTGTTGGTTTGAGTACATCGTCTCAACAACTTGCGATCACCACACTGTACACTTCTCCTATTAAGATTTGGAAACTCTCCAAGATTGTGTCGGACTGATACCACGATTGTCTTAATGTAGTGAATGACGGAAAACATCTGCGGGAGTTAAGAAATTCAGTTTATCATTCAGTGGTTTTAGAAAGCCTTAACTGGGAAACTATGCATATCTGGAACTATGTTGATATGAACTATTTTTATTACCTATATATGAGGAACTCATTCCTGAATTTATGCCGTATATTTTGTATATATACACACACACAATCGCAGACACTTATCGCCTTTCATTCGAATCTATCTTTCGTTGCCTTCATGTAGACAATAGTTTCTTTTGTTTTCCTTGTTTAATATTTCTTGCACTTCTTGCACCTGTGTTCAATAAATGTTATGGATAAATCTATTTAATTTTTGTGCCCCACTAGTCATTTCTGATAATTTTTAAGAATCTTAAGCCTTGTGTGTGATAATTCAGCGCCTAGACATGTTACTGGAATTACTAACAACGGCGTTACTGTAGCTGTTGCGTCACGAGTGCTGGAGAACAGTGGACAAGGAGGAACAGAAGTGAGCAATATCGTCTAATATAATTAAAAAATGAACCTAATAAAGGACAAAAGTTGGTGCAAACTAAACAACATGAATGTAGAAAAGCACCCTCAAAGTAACTGTTTCATATTGCTCGATTATATCAGTGTGTCCAAACAAAGAGGCAGTGTCGAGCGTTACAGATTTTTGGTATGAATGTCGCGTAATTATCGATACTGGTACTGCTGTTTGGATCTCGTATCGTATGGATAAGCGTAGAATTTCCAGAGTTTTGGAGGTGCCTGTTGTCTTCATCTTTAGGGTAGAAGTGAGTAGGGTAGATACGTGCTGGTGTGTGTATTCATGTTTTTGTCAAGTTGACCGATAAAGCGGAGGGTGGGGAAGATTATCAAACGGTCCTTCTTAGACCACAGAGAGCACAAAGTCTGGTGTTTCCAGGCGACCAATGGTCCAGGTGCCAAGCACCGTCTGCTGTGGGTTCTTTGGAGAGTGAAGTAGGGATCACATTTCCTCGGGTGGAAGTTCCGGCAGAAAGGGAAGAAAGGAAATTGTTGAATGGTGTACCATAGGAGACATATGAAGGAGGGAGATATTCACTGGGACAGTGGACTAGGAAAGTTACGAAAGGTCAACTAAGGAGGCAACTGAGTGGACCAAATATCCATTAGTATTTACTTTTTCCAAGCGGTCATTCCCACTCTTCAACAAGCACTGTTTTCTCGATATAGCAAACCACAACAGCGCTGCTTTGTCAACAATACAATTGACTACGGTAGCAGTGCTTCATTTCAGTTGCCGTATTTCTTACATAACACATCTTAAATTTTCCGGCACCTGTCTGTCTGCAGCCTTTCCTACTGAATTGCCGGTTTATTAACATACTAGTTAAAAGAATAGTTCAGAATATGATGGTAAAATTATAGTTTATTCCTAAGTCTTGTGAAAGAGATAATGAACCTTCGGATTGCATGAAAAGTAGAAAAAATTCTTGAGTAGCTGATTGGCTGTCAGCTTCTAAAAAAAACACTTTGTTCTGTGAAAATATAAAATTAATTAAACACTACAATATTAAGCCGTATGAGGAGTGGCTGTATAGATCCACATTTTTCTTATCTCGCCACTAGTTGTAGGTGAGTGGTCAGATTCACACCCCGGCCGCTTTACCCCCGGGGAAAAAGCCCCCGGTACCCACTGGATAGGAGGCTGAGCGGACCTCAGAGCCGGTGTGAACAACGTGGAGAATAAATAATTCTTGTTCCTACCGGGACTCGAACTCCGAACCCTCTGCCATCTAGCACGTAGAAAACAGGATGAAATAAAATCGCCCCACATCAAATAAAGAAAGGTACATGCAGTTGTGTACCACCATACCAAGCCGCCATGAACAGATCAGAACTTAGAAAATACCTTGCCAAAGCATATCAGAATTTCGTGAATCACAGAGACCGCTAGCGTTTTTCTGACGTCACAGACAGACTTCCTAAGATCTGCCTACAGTAGGTACAGAGGCCCCCACCTCGCTACATGTCCCTCTGCTTTCCCATTTCATGCCGTATGCCTGCATTCCATGACAGACAGAGAACTTCACTCATTAGAGTGATTAGACTGCAAGAAGATTGACGACCGGAGAATTGGAGTTCGAATCCTGGCAGGGGCAGAGACTTTCTCTTCACTTCCGTGTTCAGACTGGCTGTCGGACCCATTAGCCCTCCTGTTTATCGAGTACCGTTCGCTGTCTGTATCCTAGGGAGTAAATTGCCTGCTGCTGAATCCAATTGCTCACCTCTGTCTACTACAGAAATTAAGAATGCGTGGAGCTATTCCTCCACACTCCATATATCTTTATGGTGTGGTGCTTAATTAACATAGGAAGAATCAACTTTTTTACTGAACATCGAGGCCTCCTTTCTCAGTAGGAAGTGTACTAATTCTGGAATTTATTGACAGAATCATTTAATTATTCCCCACGTGACATGCCCTCGTTAATCACAATAAAGAAAATCTTTAACTTGCGTTTCAGGCTTAAAATGATTGTAGTTACCGGACATCTCTTCGACGTTTGGAGTTCTAGTTTTCGAATCATGCCTCAAGAACTCAGTCTCTACAGATAAAAGGAGCTCGATAAGGGAGCCTAAAACAGGTAATTTGCTATGCGCTGGTTTCTTGCTTGGCTTTTCTTCAACCCTGAAGATGGAGGTGAGAAGTTGCCCCGAAACGATGGTGGCTTTCAAGAACTACACGGCGTTATGCCCCAGAAGATATACACTTTAGTATAGAGACATTGTACCTGGTTTTGCTCAGGCTCATAAAAGTATCTCAACTCATATCTCCAAACAACATATGATGGCCTGCATCTATACTCTTGACCATCCAGCATTCATAATAATCTCCTTATCACGTTCGCTGCTTTGAATTTTGATGTCCGCGTTTCGAAAATGTTTTTAAATGCCGTAATTAAAAGTATTTTTCAGTTATCTCGAGGTGCTCTGCGTCCGGTTCTTTCAAATTTTCCCTGTTCTTTATTTATTGCATCCTTTTATTTGACGACGCACCTTTAAAAGCATAAATAAACACATCACATAAAATTTGGCGATTCCGTCGTGAGAATCACAAGGAACACACAGTAGATGAATATGTACCCTTCCCCTTACTCCTTCGCCTCCTTTCTACACGCCAGAATTTTCCGGCCCCAAATCTTTAACTTGCTCTGAGTTCAGAGTGCAGCTAAGTCTTTTTTCTCTCTTTGTACAGGTACTCATGTGGCACTTCTTGACTTTCTTCCTGCTGCAATATCTCCTTGGGCATTCTTCTGGCTCCAGGATTTTGGGCGTCTTCCCTCACGTCGCCAGAAGCCATTTCATGATGTCCGAGACATTAATGAAAGGTTTAGCAGCTAGAGGACACGAAGTGGTCGTGATTAGCCATTTTCCTCAGAAGACTCAGATACCGAATTACACAGACATTAGCCTTGTAGGGTCGATGCCGAATTTTGTGAGCACAGTTCCTCTGGATGTCATAGCTACAGACTCCGTCTACACTATAGTGACGCTCTTAGCTGAGCTTGCTGTCACAGGATGCGAAAAGACTCTGTCTCATCCCCCTGTTCTGAAACTCATCAATTCAAAAGAGACGTTTGATCTTGTAATCACAGAACTTTTCAACACGGATTGCTACGTTGGATTTGCATATAAATTTCAAGCACCATTTATTTCTATTGTCACAACACCATTACTACCCTGGGGGTATGAAAGATTTGCAAATCCTGATAATCCCTCTTACATTGGGAACATATTTCTGGGGCATTCTGATAAAATGTCTTTCCTAGAGAGACTTGTGAATACGATTTATCTGAAGAAATCGCAATGGGAGTACCATTACTGGTTTGATCTTCCTTCTCAAGCCGTTGCAAGGAGGTACTTTGGAGAATCGCTGCCTCCTCTGGCGGAATTTGTACGCAACACGAGTCTAGTGCTTGTTAACAGACACTTCTCACTGAATCAGCCCGTACCAAACGTACCGAGCGTCATTGAAGTAGGCGGACTCCATGTGCAGATACCAAAGAAACTGCCCGAGGTAAGCGAGGCGCTGGTACCGAGTAATATCATACAGAGTTACTACAAATGATTCATTCCATTTCAGAACAGTATAATTTCCAAAGTTTTATACATACAAATATGACTAATAATGGAAAGAACCGTAAACTCACCAAGTTTGCATCGTGATACATCAGTTTGCAGCATGAATTTAGTGCCTCACAAAATGGCGACGAAGCTGGAATGTACGAGATGTTGGTCTGTTATTGCCGTGCAGCGTGCATTCAAAGCAGAGCACAGAAAAGAACCACCATGTAAACAGAGCATCCTGCGGTGGTATCGGCAGTTTAAGGATACTGATTGTCTCTGTAAACGGAAAATCACGGGACGACCAATATAGAGTTCTGAAATGGAATGAATCATTTGTAGTAACCTGTATTTCAGCATCCCGTTAGTAAAAGAAATATATATTTTACGTGTTTCTGTATCATTGTCGTATTATTGGCGGTGTACTTGAATAATAAGAATAGTACCTAGTAAGTTGGCTCTATAGGCCGTGCCATAGCTCAGGTGGTTAGTCGTTGACTTCCCACCGTGGCGTCCCGTGTTCAATCCCGGATCTGGTCAAGTGGGATTTGTGGTGGACAAAGTGGCGCTGGGCAGGTTTTCTCCGAGTACATTGGTTTCCCCTGCCAATCTTCATTCCACCAATTGCTCCACAATCACCCTCACCCATCATCTGGGGCTGGTACAATAGGCCAGAAGTGGCCGCAGTACAAGGGACTTAGTCCCACAAGACTAGAAATAAAAAAAATATCCATCTCCGATATAGCAGATAAATGTCAACCAGGCAACTCGAGTCTTCTTAAGTAGTCGAAACACGTCAACAATCCAAAGATGATGTGTCATAGTAGTTTTTGACGATGGTACATTAATACAAATGTTATATTTCTGGACAAAATCCATCTTCCTGCTTTTATTCTCCCTCTTCGGGTAAAACCAACTCTGCTGGGCCCAGTCGACAGAGCTAGTCCCTATCTCCGGACACCAGCACCAACATAAACCCAGCACAGCACAAACCATCTGCGAGAGATAAGACAAAACATTAAAAGCTCCACACGAATGAGGCCTTGCACCAGAAAACTATCAGAATAGAAGTAATCATTGGTGAGATAAATTCTCTGTATGCTACGAATATAAAAACACAAATTTTCCTACTCAATCTACACTGGACAGAATTGTAGGGTTTTTTTTACTTCTGTTGTGATAGCGGGAGTTCACAAGGGAGAGATGTCCCAGCCGAGTTGAATGATCTGATGGCCTATCAGACGCATGTGAAAGGATTTTTCGTATTTTCTCTATGTGGAATTGAAGATCAAGCTTACCTAGACACTGATTTTTGAATTGGGGTTTATTTGGAGCTGAGGTATTAATGATTGACTCTTTTCATCGTCGTAGATTACGATAATAAATGAACAGTGAAAGCCAACTGAAGCAAATAACACTTGATGATGCTGATTTAGTTACTAACACTATTCAGCATTAAAGACAAACAGAGACTGGTTAAATGTGAGGAATTATTTGGAGGAGTTAATAGCTGCTGTCTACTTAGGAATCGAAGGGAAATATTTTATTCCTCTGCAATATGCGAAACGGCCGAAGAGAGTGCAGTTAACAAATCTCATCATGAAGACAAATTTATCATTTAACGTGATGTCGCATAATTTACGTAAGGGAATAAAGGGAGGCAGGAAAGTAAAATTTGTAAGATAACCCGTATTCCAGCAGTGACTTCGGCAGCGCCATAGCTCAAGCGGTTAGTTGCTGGCTTCCCACCGCGGCGGCCCGGGTTCGATCCTGGGTCTGATCAAGTGGGATTTGTGGTGGACAAAGTTGCGCTGGGATGGGGGGTTTCTCCGTGTACTTCAGTTTCCCTTACCAATCTTCATTTCACCAAATTCTCCAACATCATAATCACTCAGGGCAGGCTACAATAGGCCAATCGGTGGCCGCCGTGCCGAGTGGACCCAGTTGGACTCCATCCCCCACTAAGCGAATTTAACAGTGAATTCAACCTAACACTTTCGAATGAAAATCGAATAGAGTAGCACAGAGCTGAATTACCTATTTAACAGCGTTTTGTACAAATATGAAAATAAACTGAAGCAACCCTGATTACGATGTTCTAACGATAACTTATTCAGCATGAAGTCTCGGAAGGACTGACAGAATCTAGAAACAGGTACAGTTTAGAGAAAGAATCTTAATGACTGGACTGTGTTCATTACAACAGCTAAAGTATCTTATATTTATTGTAGTCTCCTTTGCCTTGCTATTCGAAAAGAGGGTATTATGTATTTCCATTGTATTCATTGTATGCAATGTCTCCTTTGTTGTTCGTGTAGTTTTGTGTGCTGCGTTTTGTTTGAGTGTGGTGTGTTATTTTGTGTGTTGTGTGTTATTTTTGTTTTGTGTCTTATTGTAATATCACCTACACTGGGTAAACCCCATTTGCAGTTAAAATAAATAATAATAGATGTCTTCTGTTCGAGTACATCTGCAGTAGCAGAAATAAACGCTTCGGTTATAAAATTACTTTAAAACTATTAATATGGAGACTACTCATTGGTGGATGCGTACAAACCAAGAGGAGTTAACAAATGTACTCTGACATCTTGCTCAGGAAACCAGCTCAGAAAGTTACCATTGTATTAAATGGACATTTCGCACTGAAAATCTTAGGGGGGTAGGTTCTAACTTTGGACATCTGACGGTAAATGCATGCATTCGCGCAAGAATAACGTTCTTTTAACAACGTTAATAATGAAAGCATAAAGGTTACTCGCTTTACATTTCTGTATATGCATCCAACATATAAAATGCGATGTATTTCCTTCCACTCAGGATATCGACAAGTTCCTGAACGAATCCGAGCATGGAGCCATTTTCTTTAGTTTGGGCTCCACTGTCCGAGCTGACACCTTCAGCCAGCAGAAAATGGCTGCATTCTTGCAAGCGTTTTCCGAACTACCACAGCGAATTCTCTGGAAATGGGAAGGCAGCACACTACCAGGACAGCCAAAGAACATAAAGACTGCAAAATGGCTGCCCCAAGTTGACGTTCTTGGTAAGTCACTTAACAGTCAATTCACTCTTCCTTAGACTTTGAAATATTAGAATCGCATAATTATGCATATCTGAATATATTGCGCATAGTTTGTGAGAGGCTTAATGTCAAAAGGCGTAACAATGTGAGAGGTTTTCCCTGTAGCCAGTTATGTCTCTTAGGCCATCCCAAGGTCAGACTATTCCTCACACACGGCGGTCTCATGGGCACTATGGAAGCTGTGTTCAGTGGCGTTCCCATGGTTGCCATCCCCTTGTTTGGCGATCAGTTCCACAACGTGAAGAACTTGCAGGATGAAGGAATCGCCGTGAAGTTGGACCACATGTCTGTTACCAAGGAGAAGGTCCTGGCGGCTCTGAGAGAAGTTTTGAGCAATCCTAGGTAAGTAACGGTTCCATATTAATCCTTTAATGTGCGATATTAATTGCATGCATCTACCGCCTTACTTGTCATCCTCTAAATCAAAATTTCGCTCCTATTTTTTAGTTATGTCCCTCTGTCAGAGCAGACAGTGATTATTTTCTACATAACTGCGAGGGAAATATTGGTGTTGCTCCTATAGTTAGTACTAGTGAAACGATGTTAATTGCATAGACTGAAAATATATAATCTAATTTGTAGTACAAATATGTTTCTTGTTATTTTGCATACCTAACCATCTTTATAACAATTTATTGCAAATGCAAATAATTATACTTTAGCGGAGCTGACATGCTACGAGTCCTGAAATTCGTAGGTTCGTAGACTGCTTTTCTTTACATTACGTTAAGCCTCGGTATAGGGATTACAACACAGCAACATATCTGAGATCGAAGTAGTGGCCTGTAATGAGATGTGCAAATTCGGCTAGGTACCAATATTGTACATTAAATCGTTTTTTAGAAAAATTATAAATTTTGTTGTGGCAGTGTAATTTAATTTACGATGCTGTCAGGAATTCTGGTATAAAGCATAGAATGATAGGACAACTGGGTAATGCTGATCTTATGCATATTTAAGTGCTATGACATGAAGACGTGGGGGGGGGGGAGTAGTTCTGCCACTCTTGACCTCGGTCATAGAGGGATGTAAGCCGTCAGCTTCACATTCCGGCTGCTTTACCCCTGGAAAGTGAGCCTCCGCTGTACACATTATATAGGAGGCTGTGAAGAAGAGAAAAATATTTCCCTTGCCGGAAATTGAACCCCGGTCGTCCAGGACCAAACCTGTCGCTATAACGACTGAGCTATCAAAACCCCATGATGCTTACTATGTGAGTTGAAAGGATCTGGAGGGACTCGAAAGTGGCCTACTAGAGTCACTATCCTGTCAATTTTCCGGGCGGAATGAGTAAAATCATGAATAATCTTGTAAGATTTGAGGCTTTCACGGTGGTGACTATGAAGAAAGCAGTCTTCTGGGATTTGGCACCGTGTATATGTGGTGTTAACCGACGTTTCGGAGGAACGTATCGCCTCCATCTTCAGGGTAGAAGGAAAAATATAAGAAATCCGCAAGCGAAGAGACCGTGAGAACCGGTAAAAACAAACTGCTTTTACCTCTTCTCACGGTCTCTTCGCTTGTTGTCTGTTGAGGATCCTCAACAGACGGCACAGTGCGTCTATAGTATTCCCTGTCAATGTGGCAGAAGCTACATTGGTGAAACAGGCAGACCACTGGCTGTTCGAATCCGTGAATACAAGCACAATCTCAAGCAGGGTCTTCTAGAGAAATCCAGGTTGGCTCAGCATGCATATGAAGAAGGTCACAGGGTAAGCTGGGATGAAGCTAGGATCTTGGAGGTTGAAAGTAACAGCAGATACAGAAAGTACAAAGAATCAGCTCATATGGCATGTTCATCCAATCCGATCAGCCGACCCAGTTTGGATATTTCTCCCATATGGATCCCCCTCATCAATGAAGAGGTTAACAAATGAAAAATGTAATTTTATGAATATTAGTGGTTCCACTACTCCTGCAAGTTTTCTTCCGGGGATTAGTCTGATTCCCGGAAGTCGCCATGGTGGCACGATTCTTAATCCACGCAGATTAGGCATGCATTATCCAGTTTTTACTTTCGTTTTTAACTGAATTCATGGAATATAACCTATACTTCCGTTTCTTTTCATTGTTGACAAGTTCATGCTTGGCACAAATTTTCTATCATGTTTTTACTGCGATTTTATTCTTTCCTCCCACTGATGGAACCGGTTGTAGAGAGATCGGGGTTTGTCCAGTGACTGAGACTAGCTCTTTCTAAGGGGCACAACTGAGTAGGTTTATCCTTCTCTATCCACCTGAAGACGGAGACAGATCCAGTCTCCGAAACGTGGTGGTTTTTTGTCTTTTGTATACCAGACGATGGGTGAAGTCCAAAAGAAGTACAGTATACACCATCGTCAGAATCCTTTCAAGTCTATAACATTCTATTAATTACGCAAATTGTTTGCCTCATGGTCTCGCTTGTTGTGTTATGAACCGACTCGATTTTTCTGTAGTTACTAGCAGCAGTTACATAACTGGAAGTAGTCAAAGAGGTAACACCTCGTCGTTAAATAAAAATGTCTGCTTCTCGATTTCAGTTACAAAGAAAATGCGATGGCTGTTTCAAGAGCATTCCGCGATCGTCCTATGTCTCCTCTGAACACCGCTATGTTCTGGACCGAGTACGTAATCAGACACCGAGGAGCGCCACATATGCGCTCTGCAGCACTGGAGTTGAGTTGGTACCAATACCTGCTGTTAGATGTCATTGCAGTTCTATTCGTTATTACAGCCGCGAGTCTGTTAACACTTTACGTTATCTTCAAAAAATTGTTTCACTTGCTTGTGTCAAAACCACTCCACTCCAAAGCAGAAAAGAAGAAAATGAATTAGGCAAGAACCAAATTAGTCACTGAATTTGATTTATTTCATTCTGGTCCGTCACACTAATATTATGAAAAAGTTAAATACTTCCGTCCAGTGTGACTGGTTAAGATTTTCTTATTTCAATTATTCATGCCCTTACATGTTTCCGTCTCTGAAGACCAAACGGAACTATTTAACTTTTTCAAATTAATCACTGTTTTAAATTGTATTTGTTCTCATTTAGTAGTAAAAGTAAACGTCCTTGTATTACATTCTATGCTACTTTTCGAAACATGATGTGTTTGCAGGATGTAACTTCACTGAAATGTAGACTACGTATTTTGCATTTTTTGACTTATCAAAATATATTTTTGTAACGCCACAGGATACTTTGGGCAATCACACATACTGGATAGACGTTACCAAGTAAAAGTATGTGCACAGTCTACAGGTGACAAGAGAAAACGAGTAAGGTAACATTAAATGTGAGAACATATCACTTAACAGGAGGTTTTCCTATACACAAATTTTGTGCAGATGGCATCTTATTAAACACATTATTCCTTAGAGACCAATTCGACCTCGATAAAACAATTGCCACATAGTCTGTTAATTACGTTTAAAAAGAAAAATATTCTGCTAGAATCCTCAAGTACAGTCTCGAAAATAAAATTCCAGTATACTCAAGTAATATTTACATTAACTATTTTTCAGTGTTTAATCTACAATAAATTATTTAGTAACACTAATTGATAAACGTCTGTAATTAATTTAACCTCTTAAAACACAGAAAGGCGCAAAACCAGGCTTAAGGATGGCTTCACGTAGAGACTGTTACGCTGCATCGCTTTTCTGGCAGTGTCAGATGAACAGCTGTACAGTGAATATTTCAGATATTGTACATCAATTGTATTGAGCCTTCTTTTGGCTGGTATTTATAATTTATTCATGTATATATCTACTGAAGAACCTAGTGATGCTATATTTCCAACATGAGTGATCTAAGTATTAGAATGTGTGCAGATTATTGTTAATCTGCTTTGGAATTTTTAAAGATTATTCAAGAATACCATCAAATTATTTGTTACTAGTGGATATTAATAAAGGCATTTTATATAAACCAAGGTATCATTATTTCATACAGCTGAAGTTTTGAAGTACTCAGTTTATTGCTCACTCGCCTTGCACATTGCGCCATATAACGACCTTAAAGCAACTGTTCGTGTTATTTATAATGCGGCGTAAAAAATTTGTAATTGATTATTCATTGCAAACTGTAATGAATGGGAAAATAAACTGTAACTGTTTACTTCGAAGTTACAAGAAAGAGATCAGAAAGGGAAGCCTAATTAGGAAATAAATGAAAGTTTATTAATTGTCATAGGTCTTAAAGAACTTAGCTGTTCGCTATATAATTATAGTTAGACATGTTATGATCCTGCTAAGTTTATAGTTAAGGTAGCAAAAGCAAATCAATTACAACTAGGACATTTCTGATGGTTCAGGAAATCAGGCTGCTTTACGGCAAGCACTAAGAATAAGACGTTCTTTTATGTAATCTATTTCACGTATACGTAATGCAGACAGTCGTCGTGCCAAAGTCCATATTTACGGAGATAACAAAATCACATAGTCATGTTCTGCCTGATTTTATGACACTATATGTCGAAGGTCCCAATCGATTGCTACTGAGTTGCGTAAGAGGTTTGAGACGTCTGATAAGGAAGATCAGTAAACTCATATAACATTTTCTTCTTCCCTTTGTTGGAATGGTTGTACTAACCCATGGTTTACAAACTGCGAACTTCTGCGAAGTTATGTTAATTTAAAAGTCAATCAGTATTTAGCTTCTGCTTAGTGAGAAAACCTTTAATATTTTTCTGGAACCGGGAATTTGTACCACATCCTTGACGAAAGTTCTGAGTAGACCACAAAGATCACGCTATTTTCCCAGGGCCTCACAAAAATGTATCTGCTGCCTTTGGTGGTATTCCAGGATACTTCCTGAGTAAGAAGGGTTTTGCAAAAATATTGTAAAAATAAAAGATCTTAGGGGGGCACCCGGTTGTGTTGTTGGTTGAGGCACTATGCTACAAGCTGGAAGATGGCGGGTTCGATTCCCGATGAGATCATTGGATTTTTCAATAGACCTAATCCTTCCAGCCGCATTATGACCCTAGGTTCGATCAGTCTAACAGAAATGAGTACCAGGAATCTTCCTTGGGGGAAAGGGCGGTCGGAGCGCAAGGCTGACAAACATACCACCATCTTTGAGCCAGTTGTCTAGAAAAAATGTGGGAGCCTCGACGTCTCACAACCCCATTGGTCTTCACGGCCTGTGACAGAAATAGCTTTACATTCTTTTACATAAAAAAAGTAAAGGTATCCCTGTACCAGGCAATAAAGGCCCATAGGGTTCTGAGACGTTGAGGGTCCAACATTATCTAGACAATCTGCTCAAAATTGGCGGTAAGGTTGTCAGCCTTACGCACCGGCCGCGCTTTACTCCCCAGGAAAATTATTTAACTAATTCCTGGTATTCATTTCTGTTAGAAGCTCAGTCGACCCCAGGGCCATAGTGCGACTGGAAGGGTTAGGTCAATTGAAAAAATCCAGTGACTTCATCGGGACTTGAGGCCGCGACCTTCCGGCTTGTAGCATAGTGCCCCTCCCCCTTCTTTTACATATGCAAATAAAATGAATTCAATAGTTATATTAAGCATTTGTATGTAGTGTCGGCATAAATGAATTACATGTATTTTGGTGTTATATCTCAGTTACATAGTTTGGCGTAGAAGGGTAAAAGATCTCCGTCCCTTTCGTAGTGTTATGATCATTGGAACCATGAAATGTACAGCAGTACCAAATTTGTAATGCTGTTAACTACATACACAAAACTACAAATATCTTTTTTGATTATATCTGTTCCCTTTGCATAAAGGAAATTTCCTTTACAAGTTCAATTTCATGTGAAGAATAATGGCTCTTGTACATAAGGCAGTAGGTAAGCTTATCTCTTCAAATGAAATATGAGATGTAATGAAAGAATAATGCAATTTGGATATTTAATTATTATTATACAACTGTACGCTTCTGCCACTATAAATTTAATACAAATCTCGCATGATAGACCTTATTACTTTAAGATGTGACTAATGATCTGGCAAAACATAACAGTATTATACTTTCTTACACAAGTGCCTCAGGCTTGCACGTGCACACAGATGTAAATTTGTAAGTTAACTACCTTAAAGACTCCTTTTATCCATGATATGTATGTAATGGCCCTCTTGTAGTGCACTCAATTTCATATGTCGCTTCTTACTACATGTTTCAGCAACATAGTGCCATCTTCAGGTTCGTTATTTACGCTAAGTTATTACATTGTTTGCCATCTTGTGTCTTTCATAAAATTATTTAGAAAGTACATTATTCGTCAACTCTAATAAAATTTGTATATACTAAAACTTGTTAAGATTATTCATCTATATGTCTAAATTCAAACTCGCGTATAGTATGGTTTGTCCACATGGGAGTCGTTCCTTTTTGGCTGCGAGCGTTGTACAACATTATGAATAGACTCCTTTTATATTTATGGTGAAGATATTCAGGTAAAATCAATAACATACACTTTCGACGAATTAAAATAACGGGACGGTACCTCGTTCACAGATAAGTGTAATATTCTAGACTTGTCTTGGGCAGGTGTTCGGTTCTAATCTCGACCGGGTCACCGACTATCCTGACTGAGGTCTTTCATGGTTTTTTCTCGGTCTCTCCAGGAAAATACTGGATAGAATCTGATTTGCATTAGGACCCCTTCCAATTCAACCCATTGCCCGACCCTTTGTAATCCCAGTCTTTAAAACGCTGTTAGAAAGCCCACGGAGAAAGAGTTATTGCTTGGGTACGCGGCTTACAGATTGTGACACCGAGCTACAGGAGTTACATATATGTACTGCTCTCTTCACCTGGTTCCAATGTAAACATTAAGTACTCTAATTAAAGTAAAACTAACCATAATGTGAGGAACTTTCCGCACTTAATAGGATGATCACTGTCCGTGAACTAGCTAAATGGAACAGCGATTATTAGAGATTTACTATCACGTCATACGTATCTGTCACAAGGCAATCACAGATGAGACTGTGGAAATCTTTCACGTTATGTCAACGTGCCAAGCGTAAAACAATTATCGCAGAGCAGAGTATCCACCAACTTTCCCGAATGAAATGAAAGGAAGTGTTCAGCAATCGGGCATATTTCAGGCGCATACACGTTCAGTGCCGGTCACGGTAAGGCATGTACTCTCTTCGCTCGCTCATAAGCCGGGATCGTGGGTTCGAATCCCACACAAGGCATGGATATTTGGTGTGTGTATGCGTTTATCTGTGTTTATGTTGTCCTGTGAATAGGAAGAGGACTTGTGACGAGCTGATCACCCGCCCAAGGAGTCCTACCGTCCGTAAAATGATCATGAAACAGAGAAATCAGCCTTATGCTGTGAAATGGGAATGAGGAGAGAGAGAGAGAAAGAGAAAGAAAGAAGCACGTTCAATGAACTCATAATGAGTTTAATTATTTAACTGAAAGCCATGGAAAGATATAAACAACATAATGGCTATCTGCAAATATAATGATAAATTATAAAAACATAAATATTGTCTTTTGTTCTATACATAGTCGAATAATACTGTATTTCAAATTAAAATGCTATGGAGTATATTTAACCTAACGGAGGAAGAAACCGGGTGATTAAAAAGTCGCGTAATAAGGAACTTCATAATATATTTTCATTGTACACAACTAATAACGAAACTGAAATTGTATCCCTCAGAACTTACCATACAGAATTACCAACGGTGTTCTTAAATTCCTTCAAAGCACTTAAGAAAGGAGAAATAAAATGTAAATCTGTGAAATTCTAAAAAAAAAATTGAGTTTCAGTAGAATCTTCAGTTCCTTACGTAAACTAGGCTTTGTTATGTATCAATAGGGGTGAGAAACTGAAGGGACCAACAGTTTTCAGTGGGACATTTCTGAAACCACACCCCAACCAAATACGTTACACGGCTCAGGTAATAAAATGCAAATCCCCTTGTATGGCCTCACGTGTACTGAGGTTTATTATGAATTCATACGGCCGAGAGTCGGACTTGCGCAGTAACTTCTAATGAAAGACCCTGACATCTAATTGCAAGAAAATATTTCCAAGGCTGTATGTGCTGACAGCAGGTCTCAACCAGACAGACACTACTTCACACAAGGCGTTGCTTTCATTCTAAAGAACGCTTAATATGCGACTCTTCATTCATACGCCAAAACACGCGATACTGGTCTTGTGCGCCAGCGTAAGTACAGGGGTTGGACAAAATAATGGAAACAGTACAGATACGACACACGTGTCTTTATTAATATGGTGTTGAATCACATTTTGCACTCAAAACAGTCGCAGCCTTTCTTAGAATGGACTGAACAGTTTCTAACGGAATCTTATAACATTCTTCTTGAAGAACATCTCAAGTTTCTTGAGATATTTTGGAGGTGGGAATCTGTCCCTCCTCTAGTCCATAAAATTGACCAGGATAGTTCAATGATGTTCAGATCTGATGATTGTGCTGGCCAGGGAAGATGAAGTTCACCTTCATGCCTTTCAAACCGTGACTGAACAGTTATAGCTGTGTGAATGGGGGCATTTCCGTCTTCGGAAACGCCATCGTTACTCGGAAATAACTTCTGGATCATGTGATGCACCTGATTACCCAACCTGTCCACGTACCCCTTGCGGTAATTCGGCCGTGGAGGGTAATATCCGGACCAACAGAATACTACTGCGTATAGACCCGTTGCTAGGCAAAGACCTAGAAACAAAGAGACAAGAGTCATTGCCATGCAACGGCGCGGTAAGCACGCTTCTACAACAATAGAGTTACTGTTGGAAACGGTGTTATGTAACCCGTTACTAGACAGTTGCAGCAGTTGGACTACGTAAAGAATGGAAATGGGGTGTTTTCTACGTGGTGCGTGCCGAGGAGGTATCTTGAACACAACTGGGGCAACCCAGTTGTCAGCTGAGAGTTGAGTTCTGCAAGGAAGGCTGTGAAGGTAGAACCTGAGGGTGTGAAGCTGAAGAATCTTCACTGTAGAAGCTGTTGTCAGAGAAAGGCTGATGAAGAAACAGCAGGCTTGAAAAAGGCTTAGTGGGTGCTGTGGAAATTTGTAAAGCGTGCGAGATTAGCGACAGCACTGTACTTAGTTGTAGTTCCAAGTGATGAGTATAAGTTGTCAGAAAATCCATTCACCAATCCAAAACCCGTCTATGGCCACAACACAAAAACACGTGACAATACTGTACAACGATACGGCTGTCCAAACCATCACAGAACCTGCCCGTGTTTCACTGTTGAAACCAGGAATTCCGGATTGTAGGCTTCCTTGAATGTTCTCCAAATTAAACTCTTTCTGATTTAGGGAACAGCCTCAAAGGACGCCAATTTGACCATATCGTGCAGCCGTTTCCATTTTCTGATGTCCAGGTTTTAGGGTCGTGATACCGTCGTTTACATATCTGAGGATTCCTTTGAAGTAACCAGAGGTTTAGCAATTGCAGCCCTACCGTGGATGTTGGAATGTGAAGATGACGTAGGACAGGTTTTGTGGAAACGGGGTCCACAAGACGAATATTCAGTTCTGCTGTCACGTGCTTCAATAGTTTCGTGATTTCTCGAAACATTCCTTCTCAATGTGCGACGATCTCTTTCTGTCAGTGTTCTTTTTCGCCGATGTTGTCTTTCCATGTTTCGTGTATGCCAACATAACCTCAGAAACAGTCGCTCTCGATACACCAAATAATGTGGCGGTATTTGTCACTTATGCTCCAGTTAAACGCGCACCAATAATCTGTCCGTTTTAGAAGTCGGACAAGTCTCCAATTTTCTGATTCTTTGGCACACACTGTCACAACATAATCACTAATGAAGTGACACGAGCATTACAGAGTGTGAACAAACGGAAGTACATTCAGAGTGACCAACTGAAATTCTTTCAATGTAGCCAACACAAACAAATTCTATTCCTCACTTTCTTAGTGTTTTCATTATTTTTCCCACCCCATGTACGTAGTTTGTAAGTGATGGCCTAACGAGTTCAAGTCCATTCCTTGGAGTTCGAGTAATTAACTGTCTAATTTTAGCGGAATCTGACCTAGAGAACACGCTATGTTAACTGACGAACATAAGGCTACCAGATGTCTCTGGTATCGGTTAGATTTCTGTTTAGTATTAGGAAAATCCAAGGTTCAAATCTTATTCTGGATAACAACTCTATGGATTGAAGCTTTTCGTCTTTTCCGCCAGTCCCTCAAAAGAGATGCTCAAATATCACTTCTCCCCAAACCCTTTCAAATACACAAATCACCCCGTTCTGTAGACAAGACAGAAGGCGTCGTTAATGAAGCACAGAATTGTTAAATAACTATGACTTTCCTCGTGTACATCAGAAGAATTCTGGGATGTGTTTTCAGATGAACTAAACATGCCTCTTCGAGTATTTTTCTGCATTCAGTATTTTAACTTTCCATCCTCTGAGATCAAACAAAGCCATGCGACTGACCAACTTACCAGTTGAGCTATCCAACTTAATTATCCAACACCACGAATTTAGAAATATAAACCCGAAATGAATCGATAGCACACGGAACGGCCTGGTTTCCTGAGGAAAATAAACGGATGTCTCCTCTTAAAACTGTTTCACGTGAACCAAAAGCACACCCAGATCAAATTTCTCATATTGAGAGATTTCTTTATGTATATGAAGAAGGAATCCAAATTTGTTTACCCCTTATACAGATGCAAATTCGTCATGTCTATTAAGGTATACCTTTTAATTGTAAACCGGAAATTATCCTTTAGCTTCACACTTGTTTCCGTTGTTTATATCCGAGTATGCAAGTAAGAAATGCTTACACAAGAAAAGTACATGAACCTTCGTCTTCATTGCTTGTCAGTCATACGCTATTCCTTTCTTCCAAGGCGCGTTCTAGAGCTTACTCTGGGTATGAGAATTCCCTCTTCGTATTTAGAGGTCCCGAGGCCGAATCACAATCATAAGAAAAGCTATCTAGACTTTCTTTGTCGTTCACGCAGAAAATATTTGTGACAGCATCAAAACGCTCCATTTCGCTATACTTCTTTTTCTGTGTCAATTGACTAACCATACTATCTTTTAATTAGACGTTGAACTTGTACAGCTGGAAAGCGTCTTTAAACCAACGAATTGTTACAAAATTACTACAGGATGATGAAATCGAATGGACGTGGAAGCAATCTGTAGTTACGTTTTTCTAGGTAGTTCGTAAGCTTCTTCCATAGATTTTGTCAGTGAAATTACCCCCAAAAATGTTTAAAGATAACATTATAATCAATTAATCAATAAATGGAGACCTTCGGCACGCGTTTTCTGCGTCTTGATGTTGGTAATCATATTTTAAGTCTTTCTGTTAAACATCTCACACAGACATTTTTCAGTTACAGAACCTCAGTGAAATTTTTTTACACACTTCATTCTTCACACTCTTCAGCAATTTCTTACGGTGTTTCATCCAGAGAATGTTTCTAAATAAAGATTTACACAGATATGAGTAGTCTTTCAACATGTTTTGTTTTTAATAATAAGCACAACACGCTTATGTTCCTTTATGATAATGAGCCAAAGTTTTCCACTAGACTCAGAAAATGGCGATGAAATCTCAGTATTCTGTTGATACCCAACTACACAGCACAAGTTCTTCTCACTAAACTAGCATTTATTTTCCATTGACACCATTCAATTTTTATTTCATGTACACTATGTCACATACTTCGTACATTGTTTCGAAATTCATCGTGACAGGTCGTGAATGTGCTTTAGGTCTCTATACAGAGACATGAGTTCTAAGGAACAGGTGCCGAAAGTCACAGCAGTTGTCTACTCAGTACACGAAACAGACTAACACATGTATAACCTATATACAGAGAGATATGTGGGTTGTAACGTAAGTACTTGTATATATCGATACTAACACAAGTCGAGTCACACAAGCGTAGCTTTTTCAGTGAGACATATACGTTCAATTATCTATGTGTCTGAAGTAATAGTAAGCTTTATTCACAGTAACTGTACTGTAACAGACACACAGTGAGACACATACGTTGAATTAACTATGTGTCTGAAGTAACAGTAAGCTTTAGTCACAGTAACTGTGCTGTAACAGACTCACACAGTGAGACACATACGTTGCATTATCTATGTGTCTGAAGTAATAGTAAGCTTTAGTCACAGTAACTGTATTGTAACAGACTCACACAGTGAGACACATACATTGCATTATCTATGTGTCGGAATTAATAGTAAGCTTTAGTCACACTAACTGTACTCTAACAGACTCGCACAGTGAGACACATACGTTCCATTATCTATGTGTCTGAAGTAATAGTAACCTTTAGTTACAGTAACTGTACTCTAACAGACTCGCACAGTGAGGCAAATACGTTCCATTATCTATGTGCCTGAAGTAATAGTAACCTTTAGTCACAGTAACTGCATTGTAACAGACTCACACAGTGAGATACATACATTGCATTATCTATGTGTCGGAAGTAATAAAAAGCTTTAGTCACAGTAACTGCATTGTAACAGACTCACACAGTGAGATACATACATTGCATTATCTATGTGTCGGAAGTAATTAAAAGCTTTAGTCACAGTAACTATATTGTAACAGACTCACACAGTGAGACACGTACATTGCATTATCTGTGTGTCGGAATTAATAGTAAGCTTTAGTCACAGTAACTGTATTTTCGCGGAATTACACAGGCCTAGCCTGTATAATAAGACGCATGCACGTTTTACTGGACACGTAAACAGGAGTCATAATTACCTGCAGCGAGTGTACCGTTAACAGACCCACAAAAGTCTGGTCTGTACAATAATCAGTCAGTCGCGGGCGCGCTGCGTGTGCTGAGGCTTGTGGGAGCATTGGTGACGTAAGTTACATGTGATTGTCATAATGATTTGCAGTGCTGCATAATTTCTCTTTAAACAATTTGTGTTCAGTTGTGTGTGTGAGCTGTGAGTGATGACCTTTAGATGATCATTAAATGTGCAGATTCCTTAAAAGTAGCCTTCTTTTTATGTGCCGTCTTTTGTGAGGTTATATCTGAACCGAAAAGACTGACTCGTCTTTCAGATGATTTTCTTCCATTTCATTACGCAATAACAGGAACTATGTACTTTCAGGTATATTCAAGACTGACCATGGCGTATAGCATATTTAACATACGGAACCATAACCAATTTCGCTGACCGTCGTTTCTTTTGGTTGTATTTCTTACGAGTATACTTGGGTAGCGTTCGTGATTAAACCTCTTGACACATTCGCTACTAAGCTTTATGTTAGACACTATGCCTAATAGCAAGGAAGGCCTCGCTGATTTCTGACCAGAAATATTTGTTCTTACTTGAAACATAGCATTAATGATCTAGAAATGTGGACCCCAGTGAACTTGATTTCAAGATACGTCCTTAGCAATTAGAGTGAAAATCATGTTGCAAAACGTTTAAAATTTATATCTTCTTATTTTTTCCCTGAAGCGTATATACAATTTCTCTAGTTCAGCAGTTTTTTATTTATTTATTCAAACCATATCCCGTCAGAATCCATGCGGCACAGTAATTATATATATATATATATACACTGCAGACTAGATAAGTAGGCCTGTTTAATCACATCATCTTGCTTGTCTTTCAATACAGCATTCTTAAACTACTAACATCAATTGCTAACAATTACATACGTCGTGTATAGTCTCTTCAAACAGAAAGAAAAACAAACAGTAACATTTCGTTACATTTAAGATAGGAATTGCTGTGCCGAGCTGTTAGCTTTGCATATACACTACTGCAGTCAATAAGTTCGTGGAATGGCCGCAAAGCGTCGTACGGGAATTTCCTGTCAAGAAGTTTCAGCAGTGTTTTCGGCAGCTATATCAACGTTGGAAAACATGTTTAGCGGCCAACGGCAACTATTTTGAGGGGCGATGTGGATCTGCTTAAGTGTATGTGAATACCTTGTAATATGATGCGATAAAACCTCATTCCACGAACTTAATGACTCTGCCAAGTGCATCGTTTTGCTTGCATTAAACACTCAACATACCGAATAATATTCCAAATGAAGATTGCAGATAACAATGAATCCAATATCTTACGCAAGTAATACTGAAATTTGTTCTAAGATAAGATGATTCTAAGGAAAGGCAATGGTTTCTATATAAATTTGATGCAAAATAAATCTTTTTATCCCACTTGTATCGGAAAAATAATTTCAATCGCTCAGTATCTTTAAGTTGCATAATTAAAATTCATCCATTCAGCAACTTTGTAGATATGACAGAAATGACCTGCGTGTTATACATCCATTTTATGTACTTTAATACAAGTAAGGTTTGCATCTTTGGTACGATTTTAAGATTCTTGTTTTGCTCTTGGACGAAGAAGGTTACTTGTGCCAAGTTTACAGTGATATAAAACAGACAAGAATCTGACATCCGTAATAATACAACGGGGGTTCCAGGTCGGTCAGAGCACCATACGGTGAAGTCGTAGATATGCACGAGAGTACGTGGAAAAACAGTGTTAGAAGTCGCACTGGGGGCGTTGACCATACAGAAATGCACTTCTGGGCGCGAGAGCTGTTCAAGTAACGTAACGCAAAACAGCTGTTAGTGATTGGCTATAAATATATTGGGCGTAGCAGGTTATTTATAAACTTTTTGAAGTCAGAAATGAGTAATACACAATGTATGTAGCGCATGAGAATTGTAAAAGTTCGCTACTTCAAATCGCCTTCTAACTGTTTGCAAGGGCGGTAGACTGCCATTCCAACGCTAAGGTTCTGATTAAGACTCTTCCAACAGACCGCGTTTTGCACAAAATCAGTGGGATTTCATTTTTGTGTCATACTGTACCGAAAATATTGTTCTGAAATTATGAAATGGGTGGAGTGACCTTGAGACCACTATAACACGTGATCAGAACATGACAGAGGCAGCACATCGCAAGGTTCACACGAACTTGAACCGAACGGAAAGTGGATCAGAGATGTTGAATACCGTCCAAGTCAGGAATAAACAGGCCTGTTCGGTTCCTTCGTGCCTGTTCTGTGATGCTTGAGAAGCTAATAGTTGCTAAACAGATTAAGACATTTGTAGAATTTTATAGACCCGAACATTTCTTCATTGTATTCAGAAGAGCTCGCTACTGGTCTCTATTGTGAACCACATGGTTTCAGTCCACACCTTAATATATTTCTTTAAGATTCTTTTTAACATTATCCTTCAAACTACTGCTATATCTACGCTTATTTGATATAGTCACAGCTGCTGTACATATGCGGAAGTCGTCGTCTCCATCCGCGAATATATGTACGCACAGTGCCATGTTGACAGAGATCTACAGCAAGGCTTGCCAACTGTACAAGTTCTGAAAGATTAATAAACTACAAAAATACATAAACTGATGTTGTATGCTGTAACGTAAGGGAAAATATAGATTGGTGGGGGGGATAGAGAACAAAGCGCCGAGGAAAATACTTCAAGGTTTAGAAAAACTAAAAGAAAGTAGTGACCAATGACGAAGTAGGAAACTTCAGTACTTAAATTATTTGTAAATAAATATAGAATTTTATATGTGTTGGACACTTAGAAGGCAAGCGAAACATGATAAATGTTTGTGAAATGTTACTGCATCGTAAAGGGACGCATTGGAATAGATAGTATACTACTATTAAAATGTGTCACAAAATTGCAATTGGCCTGCTTACTTCGGCGCACCCCATGTCTCCCCCGGTTTACCTGCGTGCTGTCTCCAGTGACTTGACGTTTTCGTGGTCTCAAGTAGAGACAGTACAAAGTGTGCCTGGTCTTGCCAGTAGACACGGAATCTTATCTCAGCGAATTTCCGGTTGATTAAGCGACCGAGACGTAAAGAAGTCGGATGATGTTCGGTAGGATAAACTGTTAATTAAACTCAGCTCCAATTTCATGTCGGACACACGTACATTTACAAAGCACAGGTTTTAAATCACAATTGTTACACACTATTCCACCTACCACCTCACGACTTAAAGATCTGCCTCTTCACTCACAGGTATTTATCATCACAATTCCCCAAAATTACAAAATATTAAATATAGTACCCACTCTCACACTGCGCAACCTCCACCATTTTCTCTTCTCACCTCTACGTCCTTAGATGAATAGCAACCAGAAGGAGGGCCCATCTCGCCGTCTTTTCATCCAGATCCCTGTATAATACTCTTACCAATTACTGGGTTTTTGAACTTTATCCATCTTTCGAAGTGATATACATCATAGTCTGAACACTTTTCGAGCCTCACTCACTCACTCATGAAGCTGAGCCCTTCTGGAGGAGCCGCCAATTCCGCAACTACTCAAGAATTTCCCAGCATTTTATGGGACCCGAAGGACACTTTGTTACTAATCTTTCTGTTGGTTCTCCAGCTACCAGTTCAGGTTAGGGGTCAAAATTCGGCTCCTCCCTCCTCAGTCGCCAAGTTCTGACACCCAGACACTCCTATGTCTCGAAGGGCTCGCCCTTCCTTGACATTTATAGCCAGTCTTGACAATGAAACTTTTCTCGACAATTTTAACTTTCCGGGATATGAAGTTCATCTCCAGACATGTGTTACGCATTATAAGATTGTTGTTTAACATATTCCTTTGAAGTCACACACTGTTTGGCTTAATGCATTTCTTAATTTCTGAAGTTATAAGAACTAGCAATATACTTTCTGACTTGAATGGTCCACCCTCTCCGCAGTTGTTACGTACATATTTTTGGTAAGGCTAATCAACAAATTTCTGAAACTTTGCTACAAATTGTTTCTGTTTTACGGTTCATGTTATGCCATTTTATAGAACACACTTGGCCTGATCCAAGAAAACCCATAAAACTAAATGAAAAAATGATTGATAGAAGAGAACTGAATCTAAATTGGGGTTACAGTATTAATATTGGAATGGCTGCAGAGGGTACCGAAGCCAAATCTACTTTAATCTCAAAAGGAACCATATCACTGTTATCATAAACAACAGCAATTGCTTGCAGGCGGCGATTGTGCGAATACAAAACGTACGAGTTCAGAAGATACGGAGAGTATTCATCTGACTTATAGTGGGGTTCATACGGGCTGTCATCAGTAAATTAGCGAGCCTTCTGGTTTCATGCAGAGCGGCGTATTGCTGTACCTATTGACTGGAAATCTACTTCTCAAGGAGGACTCGGATCCATGGAGTTATTCGTTTCATTCGTTACAGTCCTCAGAAGAATCAGGGTTGTTCGTCATCGATTCCAATTTCGGAAGTGTTACCGGCCGTCTTGAATGTAGTTTCCATATACGCGCCATTCACTCCACCCGAATGCCGGAACGGTATCCTGAGATGGAGCTGATACCTTCCTTTCCGGGTCACTCACCCACTCACGTGACTGAGACCTTGAGAAGAAACGACTTGTGCAGATACTCAAGAATTTCCAAACATTTTATGGAACCCGAAGGTTCATTACCGTGTTCACAAGAGCCCTCCACTGGTCCCTATCCTGAACCAGACCGATCCAATCCATACTATCCCATCCTATCTCTCTAAGATATATTTTAATATTGTCCACCCAACTACCCCATGGTCTTCCTAGTGGTCTCCTTCAATCTGGCTTTCCTACCAATATCCTATATGCATTCCTGTTTTCCCCCATTCGTGCTACGTGCTCTGTCTATCTCATCCTCCATGACTTGATCATCTAATTATGCTTGGAGAAGATTACAAGTTACAGAGCTCCTCATTGTTCAGTTTTCTCCAACCTCATGTCACTTCATCTCTCTTCGGTCCAAATATTCTCCTCAACACCCTGTTTCAAACGCCCTTAATCTACTTCCCTCCTCTAATTTCAGAGACCATGTTTCACACCC